TTTAATATATGCTTATTTTTTTTGTGTAGGTGTATGCCCGAAGTAGTTATATATATGCTTATGTTTTTTATGTAATCCTTAAACCAAACATATGTATATCAACTTCAGGTTTTCAATATATGATGCTACGTAAATTTCCAAAATCAAAATCTTTGTGGCATTGAAAATTTGCTAGTATTATACATAATACATGTCTAAATATGATGGTAGTAAATTTGCATTGTCAATATATTTGTTGTACGATCACCAAAAATGTGAACAATGTCAAAATATATCATAATATGTGATGTTTTGTCATCATACAAAAAATTGTGTAATTACAATCCTTGTAATTCCTTAGAACAAAGAAAGATTCAAGCTTAAATCATCATTATACATCCATTGTAAACCGGTTGATGCAGCATTGGTTGCTCCTACGTCTCCTACAGCTTCAACATTGCTTGGTCCAGCCACTTCCCCTGATGTTATCCCACCTTGCTTCTTCGGCCGCCCCTGTTTATAATTGCAATTGTAGTTCAAATGAGTGTTCATAAAATATCCAATTCCAGTGGCTAAATGTCTCGGCCCAGACAAAGTAGTATTGTGTCACAGACATTTCAGAATTTGGTGTTCCTGGGGTTCCAGTTAGTAAATGTCTGTGGCCTGACAAATAAGTGTGGTCTCACAGACATTTTATAATTTGGTGACCCAGGGGTTCCAGTAAGTAAATGTCTGTGGCCTGACAAATAAGTGTGGTCTCACAGACATTTTATAATTTGGTGACCCAGGGGTTCCAGTAAGTAAATGTCTGTGGCCTGACAAATTAGTGTGGTCTCACAGACATTGTATAATTTGGTGACCCAGGGGTTCCAGTAAGTAAATGTCTGTAGCCTGACAAATTAGTGTGGTCTCACAGACATTGTATAATTTGGTGACCCAGGGGTTCCAGTAAGTAAATGTCTGTAGCCTGACAATTTAGTGTGGTCTCACAGACATTTCATACGTTGGTCAACAAGGGGTTCCAGTAGGCAAATGTCTGTGGCCAGACAAATTAGTGTCGTCGCACAGACATTTCATACTTTGGTCAACCAGGGGTTCCAGTAGGTAAATGTCTGTGACCAGACAATTTAATATGGTCCTACGGGCTACAGACAATTTAATATGGTCCTTTTTGCCTAGTCTTTCTCGGAGCGCCTTTACGTTTTGTCCTGTTTGGATCTTCAATAGGAACACTTGTTTGTGCGTTCACGCCTATGACTTGGATTGGTGGGGTGTCCGTTAATTGAGTCATAACTCCACAAATTGATGAACGAGCATTTGACAAGTTGCATTTTTCCAATTCACCTTCAAGCCATGTCAAGACGCGTTCATAATGTTCATCATCATCAGCCACACTATTCGCAAGTCTTTCAAAGGTGGTGCATAACTTGTCAAACCGTTGTTGCTCTATAGTCGTAATCCAACCATCATAGTTAATTTTAACTCTTGTGTATCCTCTTTTGATATCTCTCCTCCACCTTTGCATGATGTAACACTCTGGTAGGACGTGAACTCCGTTACGCACAAGTACTGTGATGATGTGATTACAAACAATCCCTCTAAACTCAAATAAGTGGCACGTGTACACGGCTTTAGAATTAGGGATAGAATTATCGTACTCAACCACAACATGGATTGTTTTGAAAAAAACCTGATAGCCGTTATATTTACTTGTGTTTAACATAAGTATTTATAAGTATTTGTTGAAGAAAGGAAGAGAAATCGGACAAATACCTCCAGAATGAGAGCTAGAGCATAAAACATTGCGATGAACGACTTTTTAGACCAAGAGAATGACGTTCTGCCCATAATTTGAGTATAACGTATTCTATAGAACTCGAAATCACTCGATTCGAGTTTCATGTGAATGCTAACTCAATAAGGTACAAATGTTATGAAGACGTCATGGCCAAAATATGAAAGGAACAAGACTCAATCAACCAACAAAGTCAGATGTTGCTGGTGGGATTTCAGGATGCATACCTCTCAGTATTTTAGCCATAACGTTTGATTGGATGAATAAAATCACGTCATTCAAGTTTTGGTGGATAGAAGACTTCATTATCTACAACTTTGGTGAAGAAATCATGTCCAAATTCGTAGCGGAACATCCCCAAAATCCTGGGACAAAAACCGACACTTTTTGATCAATTTCGGAAGAAGAGAAAGGAAGCGCATTTTTGGGCGCTGCAACCGGCGCCGGTCAGCCTATAACCGGCGCCGGTTGGAAGGCTTTTTCGCACTAAACGAGCCTGTTTGCGACCGGGGCCGGTTCTAGACTGACCGGGGCCGGTTGGGACGATTTCAGCTCAAACAAAAGGTCGTGCAAGAGGATTTTTGATGGGAAAACTTCACCTTCCTCATCTCTTGATCAAATATTGCTCCATAACTGATTGTTGGGCTCGAATAGACTAAAAGATGTCATTCTTTAGCCTATATAAAGCCTTCAATTCATCAAGAAAACACATTCCATTCCATACTTTAATTCCTAGTTTTCATACTTTGTTTTTGCTATTGTTCTTCAAGTTCTTGAGGAGGAAACTTCAACCTCCGAAACCATTGGTGTTTAGGTATTATTTCCTTTGTAATTTCATGTTCCATTACATTTCAATATTTGTATTGTGATTAATATGAGCATTAGAGGCTAATTTCTTAGCTAAGGCTAGGGATGAACTTCTATGCCCACTAGGTGTTTGATAAAAGTTCTAAACCAATAAATTGTGATTTATCCTTTACATTTTGATTGTTTATGACTATGGTGTACAACATAGAAGTATGTTAAACTTAGTTTATGCTTGCAATTAACGTTGAGGTCTAAACTATGAACACTAAAGGATAAACATATATATTACCGAGAATAGAAATATATCCGGTATTATATGATACGGGTGTGATGTCTTGATATTCAACGGGGTTTTCGGTAGATGAATGTAAGCCGTAACGGGACTTACACGTAACGAAAACCACGCTCTCGCTGCCTTAACCGGAGTTGAGAATATATTAGTGACATCGTATTCATAATTATTGGTAAAGAACTAATATTCAATCCTATTAAAGCATTTAAGTGATTCCCGAAGCCTTAGCCGTTGTTATCATTTATCTCAAATTCGAATTAATCAAGGTTACTTCCTTGAATTAAAAGTGAAAAGCCAAAAATATAAAACACAACTCAAAATCCCTGCACTTTACTCATTTATTTATTTAAAGTCATCTACTCTCGGACTAAATTAAACAACGTTTCCCTGTGGATTCGACCCGGTATTTTACCGGAATTTATTACTATATCGGCACTTGTACACTTGCAAGTTTAGCCCGGTCAAGTTTTTGGCGCCGTTGCCGGGGAAACGGTCTTGTTTAATAAAGTCCAAACAATCAAAAATCCTGAATTTATTTTATTTATTTATTTTTCACTACTTCACTTGATCTTGGAAGGATTTTTGTTTTTTCTTGTGTAGATATTCTCTTGTGTTTGCATGCAATTGAGAGGTCAAGGTTCTAAAATTCTTGAACCACTTGATCTTGAAATAGAAAAAACTTGCAAACACATTCGAAGGGAGCAAAAAGCTACAAAGATGTTGCCAACTTTGAATGAGAGGAAGAGACCCGTGGTGGCCGCTACGCCATCTTGCATCACCTTGAGCGAGGAAGCAAGAGACTATGAGCTAAGGCAAAGCTACTTCAACGCTATGCCTCAGTTTCATGGTTTGCTTGGGGAAAATCCACTCAACTTCATCACGGAGTTCTACGGATTCATTCAAGGAATCCCTAGAAATGGCTTGGCGGAGGATCAACTCAAGCTCAAATGCTTCCCCTATACTCTCAAAGGGGCGGCAAGAGGATGGTTCCTAGAGCAAGCTCCGGCAAGCTACACAACATGGGAAGGTATATACAATGCCTTCATGTCTAAGTACTACACGCCCACCATGACTCAAGAGCTTAGACAACGCATTTTCAATTTCAAACAACAAAATGGTGAGCTCTTTCAAGACGCATGGCGGCGTTTCAAATCATTGCTAAGGGAATGCCCACATCACCGCATTCCCCTAGACCTTCAAATTGACACGTTCTACAATGGTTTGAATGCACCTTGTCAAGCCATTGTGGACAACCGAGCCGAGGGCTACATTGGAAATAAAAATGAAACTGAGGCACTCCGAATCATTGAATCTATTGCCTCAAATCCTCAACTTCAAGGAGGCGATTACAAGGTGGTCGGGATGAATGAAATCTCTATCACAACCGAGATTAACAAAAGGCTTGAACAAATGGAATCAAAAATTGAGCAAAAATTCCAAACGGCCCTTCAAGCCGTATTGGGAGGAGTCAAGCAAATAGCTAATGTGGAGAGCATTCAAAGTCCGGAAGGCAATTTATCTCAACATCTTGAAGAGGTAAATTTCATGAACTCTTATGGGAACCGGGGAAACAATAATCCTTCTAATCAACAAAGGTGGAACCAAGGGAGCAATTGGAAGCCACAACCCCAATCCGGAGCACCTAATTTTGGGCCGTCCAAGGAAACCACCATGGAGGATATGATGCAATTCATATCCAAGAGCATGGAAAGCATGAAGGCTCAAAATGAAGAGAACCATAGTAGAGTGGAGGCATCCATTGGGAATCTCCACTCTCAATTCAACAAGTTGGATCTTCGCTTTGAAGATCAAAATATAAAGCTCAACCAACGCATCGACACCATTGAGCAATATACCAAGGTGTCAATCCGAAATCTTGAAGTTCAATTGGGGCAACTCGCCCAAAAGGTGAGTTCTAGAGAGCAAGGTAAACTCCCTACAACTACGGAGGTAAACCCGAGGGAGAGCGTCATGGCCATTACCACAAGAAGCGGGAGGCAAACGGAGGATCCCAAGATGCCGGAGAGAAGAAAGACACCGGAGGAACAAGAAGAGGTTTCACATACACCGTTGCCACCTATTATGCCTCAATATGTTCCTCCCATCCCTTATCCACAAAAGTTGAAGAAGGCAACATTTTGGTGAGACACTTAGCATCCTCTTGGAACTCTTTCTCTACTTTGCATTTCAACGCACGCCCGTATTGATCAACAAATTCCTTTAGACTTGTTTTAGAATGAACAAAGTCGTCAAAAAATGCGTTAATGCTCTCACTACGTTGGGTCGTTGACATCCCTGCCCAAAAACTTGGCCTCAAGTAGCATGGCACCCACCGATGTCTTTCATTATAAAGCACATGTAGCCATTCATGGTCATTAAGGTGAAACCTGCACATTACAAACCATGAATATTACGATAGTTGTGATTTTGAACAGAACTTGCAAAAAACAAATGCTTACCTTTGCAACATAGAACTCCATGCGAACTCAAATTGTGCACCTGTTTGGGAGTCCTAAACAGCATCATGTAAACAAGCAATAACTTCATCTTTATCAGTCAATCCTCCCATCTTCTCAGGCACCTTCTTCATTATATGCCATAGACACCACCGATGTCTTGTATTTGGGAACACTATTTGAATGGCATTTTGCATTGCTCTATCTTGATCGGTAATAATTCCACTAGGAGGAAAACCATCCATACACTCAAGCCACTTTGTAAACAACCACACAAATGTGGTGGTGTCCTCATTTGAAATTAAGCCACAACCGAACAAGATGGATTGCCCATGGTGGTTGACTCCTACAAAAGGTGCAAAGGGCATGTCGTACTTATTGGTGAGATAAGTTGTATCGAAAGTTATCACATCTCCAAAATCTCTATAAGCATACCGGCACCGCTTGTCTGCCCAAAAGACATTGCGAAGGCGAGATTCATCATCTACATCAAGGGCAAAGAAAAAACCGGGGCACTCCGCTTGCATTTTGCAAAAGAAACTTTGAATTGCAATGGCGTCACCATTTCCTAAACGCAAGCGGCGAACCTTGTCAACGTAGTTCCTACAATCCTTTTCAATGAATGGTAAATTCTCATAACCGCCCGCTTCTACTACGGCAGAGGTGTAGGTTTTGTGAAGAGGAATTCCGGCAACAACATTTATTTCAATTTTTCTCCTCGCGCTCATAGTCAATCTCCTATTGCAACGAAAGGCTCTAGTTTTGGTAGGACTCATGGGGTGGTTATGTTGTTCATGCACTTTTGAAATAACCCATGACCCGGCGTAGTCATACATGACTTTGATTCCGGCTTTGCAACCAATTGCACTAGTGGCTCCGGGCAACAACAAATTTGTTGACTTTGAAACTCTATTTCCAGCACGGCCACATTCAATTAACATTGGTGTTATGTTTCCTTGTTTGTCTTTCGTGGAGCTCCTAATTCTAATGGGAAAACCTATACGTTTTGCGTAATTCTTGTAGTGATCATAGGCTTCATCTTTTCCCGCAAACAACATCCCAACTTCTACATGGACGTCTGGTGTACCATCATCTACATTTGTGTTATCCGGGTCTGAGTTAAGACATATAAAAAATTAATTATTACTAATATAAACATGTGTGGACAAGCAATAGCATCACAATAAATTACATAACACATTTACATAATACATAAACATGTGTGGAAAGGTAGTAAAAATACAAACCAATTAGTCAATTGGTCTCTGTGTACAGATTGTATAACAATACAATCATTTACATCACTTCGTCGGTGTAAAACGGCAATATGAAAACAGACATTTACTTCACTTCTCTGTACATAGACAATATTAAAGGACTAATATAAAGGCATTAAAAATACAAATATTTACTACATAGATAATACAACACATCAAATACAATACTTTTACTTGTACAACAGGTGAAAAATATACAAATGTTACACTAACACAAGTAGTGGATGGTAAACTATACGAATACAAAGTTATAAGAACATACAATAGAAAAAGAGTGAAAATATAGAAATGTCTGTGTACACAGACATTACGTTCCACGTACCTCCTTCATGATCAGCGTCCGGAATATGTTTTTCCTCTCCGTCGCCGACGCCTTTCCTACTGGGTTGAGCTTCATCTCCGGTCGCCGGTGGTTCAGAGTCGGAATCCATATTTTGGGGTGCCATCAACTCGCCCATGTCGTAGCTACTGATGAAGGCCATCTGCTCAACACTATAATCCATTTGCTTATTACCTTCACACCAGGCTCCTACTCAACCGTCGAGCTGTGAAGAAGAAGAGGTCATGAGGAAGAAGAAGCTACAGTGAAATGGGTGTGCGCAAATATGTAACGGGAAGGGGGGGTGCGTGGGAAAGAAAGAGGGAGAGGAAAGTGGCTTTTTTTAATGGGGAAAAAGCTATGGTAATTTTTTTACCCTTTTATATGATGTACATCTTGTGTACATCTTATGTACCCCAAGACAAATTGTATATGGATTGAGTATGGGTCACAAAGTTTAATTGGCCCTATGATATTGCCACGAGTCGAGCTAATCGGATCAAAACCAACTAAGTATGACTTAGCACTTTTAAATTCAAAATTTTAAATTCAAAGTGCACTTTCATATTACAACTTAGTCAACAAGCAATATTACTTAACGCAATTTAACTTTCGTAGGCTTTAATTTTATTAAAGATCATTCCAGAATTTTGTCCCCAAAAATGAATGACCGACTATTGACTTGAGGTATGTGTATACTAGCACACCGGTTGTTTGGTCTCATCAAGTCACATTATATGATACTTGAAAATTATTCCTTATCATATAAAAGTGTCATTTATTTTAAATATTGGACAATAAATTCATCAATTCAATACATCACTTTTACAACTATTACAACTATGGATTCTTGTCATTAAATGAAATCAATCCAAACGTGTAAGTTGTTCACTAATGTATAATAACCCACCTCCAATTCATATATTATATAATTAATTATTTCATCATATTTCCTACAATCCCCCACTTAGCAATTTCAGCATCTCTCAGGCTTATCAAGGAACAGAACTCATAAAATATATTTATTAATGAGATGCACAATTCACTCTACGGTTTGTTTATACCACATTGAACCTACTTTGTGGGATCTCCACTCAGATAGGTTGGGTTGCTACCGTAGTTGAATAATTATTTGGGTTTCAGTCCCATTCCTAACTTGGATTTTATCACTTGATTTAAATCAAGTCCTTTTGTTAAAGGGTCTGCTGTATTATCTTTGGATCCAACAATATCAACAGCAAACACCCCTTGAGACACAAATTTCCTTATAGTTTTTAATCTAACTTGAATGTGTCTCCTAGTCTTTTGATTATACTTAGTACTCCTAATTTTTGTAATTGTGCTCATACTATCACAATGCAAACAAATAGGTGGAATTGGCTTGCTGAATATAGGTAACTCAGACATTAGTCCCATAAACCATTCAGCCATAATTCCAGTAGTATCCAACGCACACAATTCAGCCTCAAAAGTAGACCGAGAAAGTATTGTTTGTTTAGTGGACTTCAAGGCAACGGCCCCACCACCAAACGTAAACACATAACCGGTACATCCTAAACTCCCGGAGTTCTTAGCTATCCAGCTTGCATCACTATATCCCTCAAGAACAGGAGGATATTTACCGTAATGCAACCACAAGGAAATAGTTCCTTTTAAGTATCTAAATACTCTATCTAAGGCTTCCCAATGAGTTCTATTTGGACAACAAGTGTACCGACTTAACTTAGACACTGAAAATGCAATATCAGGTCTAGTACAGTTAGCTAAGTAACCCAAGCTACCAATCATATGAGAATATCTTAATTGAGACACAGGAACACCACTTTCATTTTTATACAAAGCTACTGAAGGATCATAGGGTGTTTTAGCAATTCTACTATTTTTAAATCCAAATTTCTCAATTAATTTTTCAATATAATGCGACTGAGAAATAGAAATTCCTTCAGTTGATCTAGTCAACTTTAGTCCAAGAATTACTTCGGCCACCCCCATATCCTTCATTTCAAACTTTGTTTTCAAAAATGATTTAGTCTCAAAAATAATATTATCATTAGTGCCAAATAATAATATATCATCAACATATAGGCATAAAATAATACTAATATCACCTTTACATTTATAATAAACACTTTGATCAGCATCTATAAGAGTAAATCCAAACGAGAGAATTATTTTATCAAATTTTTCGTTCCATTGTTTAGGGGCTTGCTTAAGTCCATATAAAGACTTAACTAATTTACAAACTTTTCTCTCATTGCCTTTTGCCACAAATCCTTCAGGCTGGTCCATATAAATTTCTTCTTCAAGGTCACCATGAAGAAAGTCTGTCTTAACATCCATTTGATGAATTTTAAGACCATATACGGAGGCCATTGCTATAAGCATTCTAATTGTGGTCATTCTTGCAACCAGAGCATATGTATCGAAAAAATCAATACCTTCTTTTTGTTTGTAACCCTTAGCAACTAATATGGCCTTATATTTATCAATGGTTCCATCTGGTTTTAATTTCTTCTTAAAAATCCATTTACATCCAATAGTAGTACACCCGGGAGGAAGATCAACAAGCTCCCATGTTCCATTTTGAACAATGGAGTCAATTTCACTTTTAATGGCATCCTTCCAATGCATGGCTTCAGGAGTAGCCATTGCATCTCTAAAGGAAACTGGATCACCCTCAATATTATAAGTGATAAAATCACTTCCAAAATCCTTAGTGAACCTAGCCCGTTTACTCCTTCTAGGCTCATCTAGTTCGTTTGATTCAAAACTAGCGAGACTAGTACTACTAGATTCTACCCCCACATTTGTTATCTTTTCCACTTGATCAGGAATTGAATTAAATGTGGTTTCTTGATTTTTAAAAGAAATATTTTGGGGCACACCTGTTTTCATTGGGAAAACATTTTCAAAGAAAGTAGCATCACGAAGTTCTATAATAGTATTAACATCTATGTCAGAAATTTCAAATTTAATAACCAAAAATCTCAATGCATAAGAATGTTCAACATAACCAATAAAAATGGCATCAACAGTTTTAGGCCCAAGTTTCTTTCTTTTGTGTTCAGGGACTAATACTTTTGCAAGACAGCCCCACACTTTAAAATATTTTAAACTTGGTTTTCTGCCTGTCAAGAGTTTAATTGGACACTTATCTTTATATTTCATGGGAATCCTATTCAGAATATGGCAGGCCGTATTCAAGGCTTCCCCCCACATAAACTTAGGTAATCCAAACTTCTCTAATAAGCTGTTAATCATATCTTTAAAAGTTCTATTTTTCCGTTCAGCTACTCCATTTGATTGTGGTGAATAAGGAGGTGTTTCTTCATGTACTATACCATATTTTTGGCATTCTAGTACAACTAAATTAGAAGTGTACTCTCCTCCCCTATCAGATCTTAACCTTTTAATTTTCTTGCCAGCTTGATTCTCTATTTCATTCTTAAAAATTAAGAATTTTTCAAGAGCTTCATCTTTACCCCTAAGTAGATACACATAACAGCATTTAGAATAATCGTCAATAAAAGTGATAAAGTATTTCTTCTTGTCACGAGTCAACACTCCATTAAACTCACAAATGTCGGTATGAATTAAATCAAGTAATTCTGAATTTCTATCAATTGAATGATAAGGTTTTCTTACTTGTTTTGTAGTAGCACATACCATACATTTCTTAGTTTTATCAATAGAGTGTTTAGGAATTAAATTTAAATTCATCATTCTTTTCACAGAATCTAAATTAACGTGACCCAAACGATAATGCCACAAAGTTGAAGAATCACAATTCTCAGATACATAATTTAATTCCAAATAATCAACCACAATCTTGAAAAGTCCATCTGACAAGTAACCCTTGCCAATAAAAGTCCCACCAAATAAAATTACAACTTTATTTAATTTAAAAGATAATTCATAACCCTCTCTAACAAGAATGGAACCACTAACAATGTTCCTTCTAATTTCGGGAACATGATGCACTCCATGCAAAGTAAGAATTTTTCCCGAAGGAAATTTTATTTCTACTTTTCCAACTCCATGCACACTAGCAACACTTGTGTTTCCCATCATCACTGTTCTTCCGACCGCAGGCTGATATGAAACAAAGAGCGATTTATCAGCACATACATGCACATTCGCTCCTGTATCTATTAGCCACTCATTGGAATTATATATAGTGAAAACTTGAGGGTTAATAGAAACATACCCATCGGAACTAGTTCCTCCAGTCACCACGTTGACTTGAGGTCCACCGGATTGAGCCTTAGCCTTTTTATTTGGGCATAATTTGGCCCAATGCCCCATCTGTCCACAGTTCCAGCATGGCCAGTTTGCCTTTGGTTTCTTTGCAATTTTTAATTTGGCCTTTATTGGTTTAAAAGATGATGGTTGTTTATTTTTAGAATTTTGTGACTGCTTTCCCCCGGTTACAACATGAGCCTTTGGCTGAAATTCAACAGGCACAATATAACCCGCTTTCTTATGTTCTTCCTCAACAGTAATGGAATGCATCAAACTTTTCCAAGTTATCTTTTTCATTTTGTGTTTTAAAGTCAAACCAAAATCTTCCCACGATTTGGGGAATTTTTCAATTACAGCCATGACTTTAAATTTTTCAGACAATTCCATATCTGCTTCACGGAGAGAATGTAAGATAAGCTCAAATTCTCGTGTTTGTTCTAAAACAAATTTTCCCTCTTTCATGTCGAATCTCAAGAATTTGGAAACAATATACTTTTCCAGACCGTGGTCATCAGTATTATATTTCCTATCCAACTCATCCCAAAGGTCTTTAGCCGTGCCGTGGAGGGTGCAATAGACATCAAATAACATGTCGGAGAGTCCCAACAATATCACTCCTTTGGCTATTTCATTCCTCTCACGCCATAAAGTTTGGCGTTCAAGACTTTTGGGATCAAACTCGACAACGGGGGGACACACTGTCATAATTACCGAGAGAAAACCCTTGGTGATTAACCAAATTTTCATGCGTTATTGCCAACGTTTGAAAAAATGCCCAGAAAATTTTTCAGGCATTCCGGTCAAATCAACCCTGTGAGAGCCTGTGGCAACAAATTCAGGTGTGTCTCCAGAATTAGTCACAGACACAAAATTAACATTATTTTCAGGGATTTCATTCACATTATTCTCAACAACAACGTTTTCAGAAGTAGCAGCATTTTCCAAGTTCGTCATATTGGATTTTCAAAACTCGAGAAATAATATCTTTCTTCAAGATTGTTAGAAAAAATAGTATTAATAATGCGAGTTTAGTCAGATAAAATCCCGAGTTTAATCACAAATCACCACACAAACCACCAAATGCAAGAACAATTAAAAAAAACAATAATTAGATACAAAAAAAACTAGTATAAAAAGTAGAGAAAGAAAGACTTAGCGTAAGATCGTCCGTTAACCGGACTGGCCTTGAAGAAAGATAGCCCCCGTATCTCGATAGCTACTCGAACGGGACTGGCCAACTCGCTTCCAGGATAATCCTACCTCAGTTTCAGTCCTTAAGCTTGCTTGACAGAAACACTCCGACCGTTGCCCGATTTGCCGTTGACTAGAGAAGAACCCACGATAGGAGAAGAATATAATTCGTATAGATACACTCGATATGAAATATCAGTATGGCTTCTCAATAATAATCAAAGAATTTGGAATAACTCCACTAAGTGGAATTCCAAGGAATATCCGACCTAGTATGAATGTGTGTAAGTGGTATTCTCAAAGAGCTAGAATGTTGGAGTGCTTCGGTATATTAAAAAGGAATACTACGAACGTGCAATGGGATGTATATCCTTGGAAATCAGATATATGGATTGAGTATGGGTCACAAAGTTTAATTGGCCCTATAATATTGCCACGAGCCGAGCTTATCGGATCAAAACCAACTAAGTATGACTTAGCACTTTTAAATTCAAAATTTTAAATTCAAAGTGCACTTTCATATTACAACTTAGTCAACAAGCAATATTACTTAACGCAATTTAACTTTCGTAGACTTTAATTTTATTAAAGATCATTCCAGAATTTTGTCCCCAAAAATGAATGACCGACTATTGACTTGAGGTATGTGTATACTAGCACACCGGTTGTTTGGTCTCATCAAGTCACATTATATGATACTTGAAAATTATTCCTTATCATATAAAAGTGTCATTTATTTTAAATATTGGACAATAAATTCATCAATTCAATACATCACTTTTACAACTATTACAACTATGGATTCTTGTCATTAAATGAAATCAATCCAAACATGTAAGTTGTTCACTAATGTATAATAACCCACCTCCAATTCATATATTATATAATTAATTATTTCATCATATTTCCTACATATTATTTTTTTAATCTCTAACATTTTTACTTAGATTATCAAATTACTGGTTCTTTTACAAACCCAACAGCAGAAACAAGAACACAACAAAAACAAGAACAACCCCACGATTCATTCCCCAGAAAACGAAGACTGCCTTGTCTTCCCTGTTTCACCGAAGAGGAAGGCAGTAAACTTGCCTTCTAGAGATTGAGGAAATTCCAAACCTGAAAGAGAGCCGCATTACATTTCAAAGTCTAAGAATGGAAGAAAGAAGAGATCTTCAAGGGTAGTGTTCAGAGAGTCGGCAGTATTCAATACCTTTTAGTACTCCATATATATGCATACCTGATCGAATCAGTGAGTTAGTAGACAACTTTTGGAACAATATGTAATAAGATGGAATATCCAGTAGTATTGTATTCAGAGAGATCTTTAAGAATTTTAGAGAGTCTATGATGGAGATGATGGTAGAGACTGAGATATTGGATGGGTTTGATCGGGAGCCGGAAGAACTTCCGAAGACATTTTGGCCGGTCAGGTCAGAGAGAAGTGGGAAGTAGGAAGACAATGTACGGTTTTATTTAGAACCAGTAGTATTTGTTATTAATAACTTTAACAACCGGTGAATTTTAGATTGGGACCATAGAAAGAAGACAGAATAGAAATGTTGGATTTTTTTTAGGATTATTATTAATTGGGACCGTTTTGGGAAGATGGGGTAAATGTTGAATTATTAGTATCAAATTTTTCAATTTACAATGAGCTAAATTGTGTACTGCTCGTGCATCACACGAGCTTGAAAATTAGTTTTATTTATTTTAAAAAATGCATAATTTGGTGCGTGAAATTAAAAGTTGGATAAAACCGATAAGCTCCAAATAGAGATTAGTTTGTATTTCAATGAAATTACAAACTATTATGAAAATAAATCAATGAGTGACAAAGCTGGGCAATCCTCATGATTTTAGTTTGACTCTAAGGAGTGGGGTGGCCCCTATAACTGTACTGAATACTAAGCTATTTTGTATTTCAACTCAATATTTGACTACTACGGGTATTTTTTCCCTAAAATCGAATAAAGCTGCAGACAGCGGTTGGGCGTAACATAGACAAAAGCTTTTCTAAATGATGCAAGAAGGTCTCCCCTCATTTACTCCATCCAGCTATCACTCTCCCACTCTTAAACAATTTTTCATCTTGTAACGCTTACTGAGCTCTCTCCATGGATTATCTGTTCCCAACAACTTCCTCCTCCCTCAGAACCCTAAAGTAAACGCATTTAGGTAAGTGCCGTTCTACTGTCTCTTTCTCGCCCAGATCTGGGCATGGCCGGTGCACGGCAGTATGGAACCTCCGGCATTTTTTTTTTTGCTTTCTAGTGTTGCTTTTTAAGCTGCTGGAATGTGGGTAAAAGTCTTTCTACTGATTTTCGTACGTGCTGCAAGAAAATGTATGTCTTTTTGGAACTCTTTCTCTGAAAAACGAGTTACTTCGGCCTTGTTTACTATAGTTTTTTTTGTTATCGGAAACTAAATGCAAAGTTCTGCAAAGCAGAAAAATAAAGTTTTGAGTTTTCTATCTTCACATCAAAATTGACATGATCAAAATCATGATATTTTTGTTCATCATACAATTTGTATAATTTCTTTTAAAATCACCACTCTCTAAGATTTAAAACATCAAGCTGATAGTGATAAGCACCCACTTTATGAGTTAGTCTAGGGGTTCATTAAAAATGTAAGTTATAGGGAGAAGGCAATCATACATGACATTCATTCATTGGGATCATATGCCCATCTTTTCATCATCATGAATGTGTGCCAAATTTCTAGTACACTTATTACACTTCTAATGACCCTAGACTACTCCATACCTTATTAGTTGTTTCTTAAAGCAGGGTCGTCCTTGGCCTAGACCCAGGGCCGGCCTTAGGGGCAGGCAACAGAGGTGACAACCTTAGGTCTATAAAAATTGATAACAATTCCTAAGCTGACCTGTCACAAAACACACTGGCGAGTTCTTTCGTTTGTTATAATAAGTCTTAATCCTGTGATCTATTTTAATAATTGAATGAAACAGTAACATCTTTGAGTTAAGTAATGTAAGCCCTTTATCATTTTGCCATCATCCAATTGTTTTCGGATGATCGCTTTTAATGGTGTAAAATAGCACAGCGTCATAAAAGCATCGATACAAGGCCCAACAATTTTCTCTATATATTCAGTGCAAAGGTTACTTTTTAATTTTTTAGATCAATAGTTTTGTTCACGTTAATTATTTTCTGGAATATGACCACAAAAACAAAAATGCCCTAAAATGGAGTTAAGAGTCGAGAAGATAAGTGTCGATTGCATAAACATCATATAAGTGAACCTGCATCCATTTTGAAAAGTTGAAGTGAATTCTTATTAACTTTATTTGATACTTGTGTAGTTGTGTTACTACTTTTGTTTAAATATTCAACTCATCTCATTATAAATAAGTTTTTATTTGTATTATGGTTCTTTTACATAACATTATTATACTTCATACTTTAAGGAAGTATGATTTACAACACTTTTTAAATAGGCCCACAACAGAGCATCACCCATAGGCTGTAAATAAACATGAATACGCGACCGGTCCTGCCTAGATGTTATTAATGAAAATTGAGCAGTCATATCACACTTTTCTTAAGGCCTAATCCAAAATACTTGTTTAGTAGACCAACTATCTATTAAATAGCGTTGACTGTGTATTTAGCTTTAAAAAAAATTAAAATAAATCACTTCAAAACTTGAAAACATTATCATCATCAATTTTGAATTCTTGTTTGGTCTCGATTCATATTGATTTATTTTTAAATGTGTAGGATTAAATTTAATGCCATATATTATATGTTAAAGTTCATGAATTTGCAGTTAAAGTTATCAATCTAGTTTCATACTAATGAATTTGTGATTAAAATTAATAGAATTAAGCATCATAATACTCCTTCCGTCCCTTATAACTTTGCCATCTTTCCTTTTTTAGATGTCCCAAAAACTTTGTCACTTCCCCTTTTAATCAATGAGTTTGTGGTTCCTGTTATTTCTCTCTCCTCTGCACATATCTCAATCACTCAGTTTTTACTTTATTATTTCCCGTGCCGGTCAAACATGGCAAAGTATTGAGGGACGGAGGGAGTATTTGATAAAATATTATATAGGACGACATTGTTTTAAAGTTCTGTTAGGCATCGATCCAAACAGTAAAAACTATAGTATATTCAATCAAGGAATTCTGAGAACTCCTCAGATTTTCTTAGGAAATTACAAAGCAACAGAAGAAACGTAATAGAAGAAGTATAGAGGCAAGTTCGAGAGTGCCTATCTCTCCCAAGAGTCCCGGTTCCTATTCTCAATTTCTGCCTGCCTTCTTCTACGCCCCAACTCATATTTATTATATTTCTTATGGGTCAGCCCACTGCTATTTGGTTACAGGGCCTAAGCCCCTTTTATTATACACTATTAAAAGACAATATTATTCTTATCACTAACACTATCTAGGTCCCTATCATTACTCCCCCCTTTGACAACCACCTTGTCCTCAAGGTGGGGAGTAAGAAACAGCCATGTCATTCAGCTTCTTCCTCGCGCCTCTGCCTTCCCAATACTTCAGCTCGGATACATGATGTGGCAAAATCTTCCCATTTGGACCGAGAGCTTCAGCAATGAGGTCACAATGATTGGTATTGGTAGTAGCTTGCTCAAGGTTGTTTGCACGAGAAGATGATGGACACGCAAAACTCTCATTCTGCTCTTGATCACCATTAGTCATCATCTTATTTGATTCCTTATAGCAGCCATTATCATTTTCTGTTGGCTGTGAAAGACTTTCACCATTTTCCCTCTCACATGGCTTTTCTTCAATTCCAGCCGTTCTTTCAAGGTAAGAAACAATATCAACCTCTATTTCCTGGACTGCCTCATACTTTCCATTCACTGCCGATGAAACTCGATGCAAACTTTTATTCAAGTTCTGCCAATGAACTTCATCCGAGGCATCCTTTGCACAAAGGATATACAGGTTGACTGCATTCTTTTGCTCTTGTCTATGAGCTCTTTCTTCAGCCTCTTTTGAGTTATGGAATGATTGAATAGAAGACTGCCCATCAATACAAACATAGATTATTCTTTTCTCAGAAACAAACTGCTGCACTCCATCAATAATCTTAGGATATAATATGCTTTCTACCACAGCTTCACAGCTCCCTAGTGCAGTCTCACCATCCTCCAAATGCTTTTCAGATTTAGGACTACTGAGATATATTCCCCATTCACCATCTCTTGTGCTCAGAAGTAATATCATATAAAGGCTATTCCCATCAATGAACTCTTGATCTGTCTCCTCCTTTCATCCAATTTGACATTGCCATCAATGTCAAGTCTGAATTCCGTACTTCCTCTCCTATCCATGCCAGATCCACTTAGAGTAGGGACTTCATCAATAAGAATGATGATATTTCCTGAATTCTTAACCACCTTACTTATTGTAGTCACACGAGCCTCCAATGCACCAGAAATATACAACAGGTAAAATGTATATGTTGAACTCATTCAAAAATTTGAATACACAGTCTACGGGGCATACCCCTGGGAAAACAAAATCCATAGCAGGCAGTTTGCAAACAATGCAAAAACCTGCTGTCCAAACACCAAATACAACGGGGAGAGATCCCTTACAAGCCTAAGTCAAACATCAATCAAAAACAAAAAGGCCAGAAAGTACGAATGTCCAAAATAGCACAAACAAGCTGAAAAATCAGCACTCAAATGCCAAACAAGCGGCATAAAAACCAGATATTAAAAATCAATAGCAGCAGTTGGATACATGGTGAACAGTATTCAGTAAACCACAACTTTGATTTTCATAACAACATCATGAGGCGAACACCTGATATGGTCAAAGTATGTGTTGTTCCTCGTTCTCCAAATTGTGTAAACTGCACATCAGAAGGCGAGGGCAACAGCTTTGATCCGGACCCACGCACCCCCATATTCCTTTCTTATCCACTTGATTGAGCTTGCAATGGTTGTCATGTTTCTCTTAATTCCCAGCCATCTACGGACCTCAAACCAGATACCTGCAGAGTATGGGCAACTGAAAAAAAATGAGAACCGGATGTATCTCATAACAGAAATATACAAGAATTTCTTCACAACATTAAGATGCCCAGCTAACGTCCTCTTTGGTGCAACATGATAACTTGAGTTTGATAATCAAGGTTCGAAATTGCGTATTGCGTGTTTGAGGCGATTTCTTAGCATTGCCTATTGCGTAAGCCTCATTGCGCAATGAGGCGTAAGCCTCAATTTTTCAACAAATTTATTTTTATAAAAAAACTACTATGGACTATAACGTGTACTACTAACAAAAAAGCAGATGAAGTAATACTCCGTATAATATTCATCCACTGACTAACAAATAAACTAATAAAATTATACATAGCATAGTATTCATCCGCTAAGCCACTAAGGATGTTTTCTTTTGGACTGAAATTTGCTGGTCTGGTCTGTTTAAGTCTGGTCTGGTCTTGTAAACGTCTGATGTCTGTGTATTTTATAACTATCCAAGTCTGGTCTGGTCTGGTCTGGTCTGTTTAAGTCTGGTCTGATCTGGTCTGGTCTGTTTAAGTCTGGTCTGATCTGGTCTGGTCTGGGACTGAAAACAGTCCAAAAGAAAACATCCTAACTAACAAAAAAGCCTTATAAAATCATACATGATATTAAATTGATCCCACTAACTCACAAATAAGATTATACATAGTATTATTGATCCACTAACTCATAAATAATACTCATCCACTACCATTTATAGAGTACACGTTATTCTTCAAAAATTATTTTGCCCATGCCCTACTATTGAAATATTATATTAACTTTTAGCAGAGTACACATTATTCTGCCCATACCCCACTATTCCACTACTGATTATCAATATTGTCTACAATATTATCAAATACAATATGTAGTATAAAATACGTGCAGAAAAGAAGATAGCAACAGAAGATGACCACCACAGAGAGGAAAGCCAGAGAAGATGACCGCCTTTGCAGAATTCGCTACTACCTACTACATATTTGCTAAGCATACGTAAATACTATTGGCATACGCTGTGCAGTATGTATTTTAAAATAAAATTAATTTAGGAATTTGGGCTGCAGCAGTTGGATGGTTGGACCTATTATTTGAGGCGCACCTCATCTCCCGCTCTATTGCGTGCGCAATATGCGTAAGCTTAAGGAAACAAGGCATATAATTTTTTATTGCCTAATCTAGTCTAAGCCTTGCACCCTAAAATCTGAAAAAGTAACAAATCTAACCTTATTGCGTAGAGGCGGAACACAATTTTAAACGTTGGTTTGATTCAGAGCTCGGATCTAATCCACACTCAAACTCGGAAGTAAAACCTTGCAAGCCATTGTAGAACCTAACAACGCAACCATGCTTTTCAATCTTCATTATCCATCCTTGTTTGATTAGTTCCTCAGTAGCATCAGTGTCAGCGCTGATGATTCCCTGAAGCTTCTTTCCATTATTCTCCTCTTCTATTTCCTCAGTTTCCTCGATGTGGACAGTCCATGTAGAGCTTTCCCAAGTATTTGAACCAGCAAATTTATCAACGACATATTCATATTCCATGGAAATAGAGGATTGAGTCACCACAACAGATTTCTCCTCTCGTCCCTCATCACTATCGATGAACGTATCTTCAGAGAGAGGTTGCCGTGGATTGCCAGACTCCTGCGACTCGGACAACAATGGCAAACTGGAAGCTTCTCCTTCTGGTCGCATCGTACCTTGCAGTGAACTTCTAGCGTCTGATGAAGTCTGCAAACCTGGAGACATGGCTTGCGGAGAAGATTGCAAACTGGAAGAAGATGTTGGCGAGGAAACCTGCGAACTGGTAGAAGCTGTTTGCGATGGCGATGACATCTGCGGACTACTGTGAGAAACGGCTTGCGATGATGAACTGTGAGAAACAGTTCGCGACAAAGATTGCGAACTGAAAGAAGTTGTTGGCAACGGCGACCGTCCTCTAGTCTGGAGGTGTTCGATCATCGCTGCTAGCTGTACGGCGATGTTTTCCGCCATCGTTCTCAAGTCGGTAAAGTCCCTCTCCAGCGAATCTATCCTATTCTCCAGCGAATCTACCCTCTTCTCCATTATTGCTATGCTACCAATGTTAGGTATCGATCCAAATAGTAAAAACAGTAGTATATTCAATCAAGGAAGTCTGAGAAATCCTCAGATATTCTTAGGAAATTACAAAGCAACATAAGAAACATAATAGAAGAAGTATAGAGGCAAGTTCGAGAGTGCCTATCTCTCCCAAGAGTTTCGGTTCCTATTCTCAATTTCTGCCTGCCTTCTTCTACGCCCCAACTCATATTTATTATATTCCTTATGGTTCAGCCCACTGCTATTTAGTTACAGGGCCTAAGCCTCTTTTATTATACACTATTAAAAGACACTATTATTCTTATCACTAACACTATCTAGGTCCCTTTCAAGTTCATTGCATGTTTTTTGCATCTTGAAAATGTTGCTTGCTATATGAAACAGCGAATTAGTTGCATTTTCGTCATTACTAGTATTAGTTTATTACTATTATTACTATCATTCAATTTTTTAAAATTGCGTTCTACTCTTTATTTTGATAATTGATACGACCCTCTAATCTCTGAAAAGCCCACTATCTGTTTATTTAGTTATTTAATTCTCTATATTTTTCTTTTGGATAACAATATGTATCCCTCCCCTGAAAAGCAGAATGTCTCTTGTTAATTATAATGCGTTTTACTCAAATTATAAAATGAACAACATTTATTATCAAACCTTCGGAACTGACTTTGGTATCAGAATGCGGAATAGTTCTTTTAGCAACCAGCACTGTTATAATTATTAATTTATTATAATGAGTATTTTTTCCAGTTTCTTATTGCGCATTACTTGGTAACATTAGTTTCCTCCTTAAACTTATTACATTTTTACTATTTTTGAAACAGTTATGTTGTGTTGCCTTTATTTATTTATATTTTTTATGCATCATGAAATTTATCATGGTCAAGAGATGGAGTAACAATACTTTTCTTGTTCTGGCTTGTTTACCTGTTTGATTTTATTAGAAACGAAACTTTTGTTGGAAATGTAGTTTCTCTTCAACTGTAGTGGAACAGCAGAATGGATGTTTCAGCTCCAAGGTCGACCGGTAACGTTGAAGACATACATAGTACAAAATTAGAGAAGCTGACTTTGGCTGAGGGTTCCGTTGACAAGCCACAGAAGCAATCTTCCACTGAAAGTGTAAAATTAACTAAGAATGTGAAACAGAACTCAAGCCCAAAGAATATTGGCTTAGTAGCAAAGAATGGTGGTGATACTAGTTCTAGTGGGTTCAGGTCGTCAACATTGACAAAATCTACACTTAGTAGTGCATCAAGAAGCTCTGCTGCACCACCCGTTGCCAGAAGGAACAGCACTGGCAGCCTTCCTGAAAGACAGCAGTCAACAATTACTAAGCGGTCTACCAGTAATGCAACTCCTGTTGCTGCTAAAAAGCCTTCTTCCCCTGCCTCTGAGCCTCTGAGACGATCTCTTCCTGAAACTAGACGGATCTCACTTCCTTCAGTTACTAGAAAGCCAGTTCCTGTGTCTCCTAATGTGAAAACACCATCCAGCTCTGAGGCATTCAGACAAGAATATGTTAAGAAGGCTTCAATTAAATCATCACCTTCTTCAACTTCTATCAGGAGCCACGAGTCTATACCATTTGATAGCACAGGAAGTAGTGGTTTGATTCGAAATGTAGCCCCAAAGTTGTCATCTACTGGCCCACGTTCACCTTCGCTTAACAGTGGATCTAGGACTGGGTCTTCTTCGACTTCAGTGGAAAGGACCTCAGGCTTTTCAAACCGTAAAAAACTTGGAACAACTGAAAGCTGGGATTCACGTCTTATTATGCTTCCTCAAGTGGAAATCAAAGCTGGTGATGATGTGGTAATAATTTCTGCAAGTGGCTTCATGATTCAGTTAAAAGTATTTATACATATTCCATATTTTCTTGAATATGTGAGTGTGCACATACGTGGAAAATTAATGGAAGGATTATTTGTTTGTTTGGATTATTGACGATGTAATTATGATATTCACTCCATATTCCTTGCCATTGTTTCACATCTTAGGAACTGATCCTCAATCTTCATGTATACTATTCTGTAGCTTTCATTTTTAAAAGGGGTTAACTTGTGAGTTTGGAAGTTCTGGGAGCTTCAGATGCAGGCCAAATGTTTTTTTTTACTTTCAGCTAGTACATCCGTTCCAAAGTAAACTTTCTGTTTTCCTTTTCTGGTCGTCCAAAATAATTTGACTGTTTTCTTTTATGTGTTTTTATCATTTGACTCATTACTATCCTTATCTCAACCACATCAATGACAAATCTTTTTCTTATGAACCACTTTCTTAATAAGCTTGCCATACCCACATAAGAACTATATTCACAGTACTACTATATGATTTTTTATTGTTCATAGACCAGTACCAGAGTTGTTTTTATGAGTACCGAGGCATAGATTTAATATATTCAAGATTTCAGGAATTGCTTTTGATGCCTTCTTGACGTTTTTTCATATCCTAGACACTGAATCTCATTCTGCATGTTACAGAATTAATTTTAGAAGCCTTGAATCTTGATATGATCTTTTCCTTTCCCAAATGATAGTTGAAAATATCATCTGGTTTTAGAAGACTATCACGAGTTAGGCGGGGGGGGGGGGGGGTGTCTTTGGATAATATCATTTCCATTTTACACCCACACTAATTTGTTATATGCACATCTTCTTATTGCATCACTTTGTATCTGCTATCTTAAGGGTTTTAGGCACTGATTTGTGTCCCTTCCTGATGTTTTTCGAATCTAAGATAATAAACCTCATCCTTCATATTACAGAATCATTTTTTAGAATCCTAGATTCCTCATATGGTCTTTTCCTTTTCCAAATGATAGTTGAAAATATCACCTGGTTTTGAAAGATTGTCATGAACTTAAGCGGGAGGTTGGTTTGGATGATATCTTTTCCATTTTACATCAAAACAAATTAAGAATTTCCCTTAAATAGGAGTGAAAACGTTTGGGAATTCCAAAATAGGAGTAAAAATGTTTGTGAATTCCAAAATAGGAGTGTCATGTTTTTATTCCCTAAATAGGAGTAATTATTGCCATGTTTTGGCATTACCAGACTTTAAACATGGCAATATTTTCCAAACTTGACAGTAATTACTTCTATTTAGGGAATAAAAACGTGACAGTCCTATTTTGGAATTTCAAAACTTTTTTACTCCTATTTCGAGAATTTTCCCAAACCAATTTGCTAGAGCATCTTAATCTCATTGAAACAGTTTTAAATTTTTTTTGGTCGAAGATGTGTTTGTAGTTCATCTCAATGACTTTGGATACAAGTTCTAGCCATTTCTTATCTGAAGTGTGTATCGCATTTTCAGGTCTATACCTATATATATATATATTTAATAAGTGAACTTTTCTTAGCCTATACAACAACAATAACAACATCCAAGCCTTAATCCCAAAGAGTTTGGGGTCGGCTAAAACTTTTCTTATCCAATCAGGAAATTTAATTAAAGTGGTCAGTTTCTTTAAAAAACTATGGAGTATCAACTACTCAATAGAAGGTAACTTTTGAATCATGGAAACTTTGCTTCTTGATTAATTGCTTAAGACTTGGATACATTTATTTGACCTTGTTCTTAAGAATCTTAACTTGTATGACATAATGATGCATGGATGTAAATATAATAGTAAAGAAACGGTTGAAAACCTGGAAACAAATATAGGAAGAATAGAAAGATATATATGATAATTGACTCTGAAGTCTCAATGACAACCTTTTAGTGAAGTGAAAATGAACTTAACCCTGAAGTATTTTTTGACAACTTTTAGGATATTCAGCAGTTTGATATTTTGCTCTCACTTTGTTACTTTTGGTGATATCTTTTGTGTATCTTCATTCATATCTTTAAATATCATCTGACACTCTAACAATAATTTCTCTGATTTTCTATCAAGAGGCTGGACCTCAGAGGTCATAGAATTCGCAATCTCAACAGCAGCGGGCTGAATTTGTCTCCCACTTTAGAGGTATCTTATGTTTCCTTTAGTGTATAAAGTGTTAAGGATCTGAGTCTGTATTTATAATAGTCAACTTTATAGGAGTAGTCCCAGATACAAAGTGTTAAGATTTGAGATTCCATTTGGAAAAGTCAACCTTATAGGAGGACTAATCCCAGATCTTATATAGTGGTTTATTAGGTTATACCAATCTGTGAGTACAAATAATTTAGCATGCCACTTTAGCCCAAATCAGGTTGGACAATACCGGGGTGTACAACCGTGGCAAAAAGATCCTAAACGAGTTACCATTAATCATGGGTGATAAAAAACAATCAAACCACAACTGAACCTGTCTCTCATACCATGTTAAGATCAAGAGTTCTATCTTAAAACTTAAAAGTTCAACCTTATAGGAGGAACATCCCATGATCTTATATAGTGTATTAGTGTTATACCAATCCGGTGGGACTAATACTTCAGCACACCGTTTTAAACACGATGACTATGGAAGGGACTAATACCACATTCACAACCCATTCCATTCTTCATGTTCTGCTTTCATTAAGCTTCAATTATATGCTAAGATTGAGTTGAATATTGATTTTCACTTGATGTGGCTTTTCTTTCTTCCTTCTACTTTGAATGAATTTTCAGTTGCAAGTTGCAACTATTTTGAAATTCAAACTTGGCTTCCTCAAAGAATTGTAGAGTAATGTTGCTGAGGGTTTGAGATTTTTTTTTCTCTTAGGAGAGAGAAGGGGGTTAAATACATGCATATGAACATGAATATTATTTCGTTCGAGAAACGGAAAGTCATGATGCCATTACTACTCTTTTATCTGTTTTCTTGCAGTTTGTTTACCTCAGAGACAACCTATTGTCTGGATTGGATGGTATTGAAGTACTAAAGCGGGTGAAGGTTTGTAAGAATAATTTTCTTACCATTATCTTAAAGAGAGAACCAACTTTTTAGTTACCATTATCTTAAAGAGAGAACCAAATTACTCAAGCTGCTATTTTTTACAATGTTTTGCCACCTGTATTTCACAATTGATCCAAAATGTAGTATATTTTACATTGTATTGGTGTATTAGGTTCTTGACTTGAGCTTCAATGATTTCAAAGGTCCAGGCTTTGAACCACTTGAGAATTGCAAAGCCCTTCAGGTTTGCATTTCTCAAGTTACATTTCTTTTTAACCCTATTGTACTAAAGTATGTCAATGTTTTTTATATGAATCTAACTTGATTTATTTATTAATATAGCAACTTTATCTTGCTGGAAATCAAATTACATCATTGAAAAGCCTTCCCGAGCTCCCTAATTTGGAGGTAAACTACATATCACTGCATTATTAATTTCAATCAGTAGTTGTCTGCACTTTGATTTGTATCAGTTATTCTAAATTTCTTCTTTCCTTTTGGAAAACCCAGTTTCTCTCTGTTGCTCAGAATAAGTTAAAATCCCTTTCAATGGCAAGTCAGCCTCGACTGCAGGTATGTTTGTTATTTAGTAGGCATAGTGATTTGATGCTTCTGGCTTCTTGGGTTCCTTGCGTCCAGCTCACTATTTTTTGATCCAATTGTCTGAATCTTCTTTGCTTCTTGCTTTTATGCAATCTGCATATCATTTTGTGCAGGTATTAGCTGCTAGCAAGAACAAAATATCAACTTTAAAAGGATTTCCACATTTACCTTCTCTAGAGGTCAGTTACGGATGTAAGCAATTGAATATATTATCGGGTCTGTGCAGTATAATTACTGTGTTATGTTTTATATACATGTTAGCACTTTTTACTGTGATATGTTTTATTACTGTGTTATAATTACTCTAATTATCATTTCTGTTTATTCCTATTGTTCAGTATTTTAGTGTCAATGCCAAACCACTTTTTTTATTACATGCCACTCCCTGAGTCTGGGCCGTCTGACCAAAGATTTTTTTTGCTCTTGGGACACTTTCATCATAACAATCCAACCGTAATCCTAAACAGCTGCAGTTAGCTACATGATCATAGAGATATTTCGTCAGGTCATTTACTAATAATTTCTTCTTACACACTTTTTTTTATGGTGTGCCATCAGTTCCTGTAGTCACAATGTCTTACTGTTCTTTTCACCCTTAATTCATCTCATTTTTGGTCTATCTCGGTTTCTTTTCAGATCTCTACAGTATTCCAACGCTCTACTCTATGTAATGTGCATTTACCTCTGGGCTATAAACATGCCTAAACCACAACGATCTCATTTTTAATGAGCGCTACATCCACTCTTGTGCTAACCTGGGGTTGTGAATTCTATTTACAGTGTTTCCGATATAACCTGGGGTTGTCAATTTAACTCTAAATTTCTGCCGCGTTGTTGAGGTTCCTATCACACCTTCCCAAAATAAACATTAAACTTATACTCCTAATACAATGTTTTTCTTTGACTTATCTTAAAGATTGGTGGTTTAACTTTTGTTTCCATCACTGTAACTTACTATTTGTCACTGCTTTGAATCATTATACCAACACAACACTAAGTGAAACCAGATAGATTAATGATGTCTCATCTTGGAACATTTGGCTTACTCATCCATCATCCATGATAGGTTGATAGTTGTGACTTGTGTAGTGGACAAGGCTCAAGGCCAATCATTGATGTAGTGTGAACGTGATATATCATCGATTAAACCTCTATGATTTCTAATATTTTAATGCAAACCTTTATGTTAATGTTCTGTATTTACAAAAACCATATGCATAGGTTTTTAATAAACCTTATGGACTTGTCTTAACGTCTTGATTCATATTGTTCATTATATTTACATATATTCATAATATAGCTTCTTTGTTCAGCCCACCTAAGCAGTTCCCTAGTTACCGTATTGCATGCCATTTTCAAGTCTGTAAAGGTCATGCTATTTATTCCAACCTGAAAATACTCCATGAGCTGTCTTAAACAGTTAAACTTAATTTATTCCGTGATATATGAATGCATATCTGTCTTAAACTTAATTGGTTTCTATGATATATACATTTCATTAATATGTGTTCCAGCACCCTTCCATAACCTCATGGTATAGATCATTAGTTTTATTAAGAATCATGTTAATAATAAATATGAAAGTGATGATAATGTTGTTCTTCCACAACGAACACACATGGCACATCTAGAGCCCACAATGTATTTGGTCAAAGATATAACAAGTTGTCTTGTATATCTTTTATCTCAAGGATTCGTTTTGAAGTGCCTTTTCTCCATTCATTTGAGTTTATGCTATTGCTTGTCTTCCAAAGTATTTTTAATTTGCCAAAGTCTTCTTGTTTAACTAATATTTATCTTTCCGATCTGAGCAAGGACCATGACCATCTGACTCTTATCCTCGATGCATTTTTCATAGGGATGCTCTATAAAGTGATGCAATAGTTTAATCTATTTTTTGCCATTTAAGTAAATTGTGTAAACCAATTGAGTGTAAGGCAAAAAATGGTGTAAGTTTTTTTATAAATGGGTAAGTGACTGCTTATAAAAGGAAATTTGTTGTACTATGTGAACAGTATATCTGACTTTTACTTTTGTTGATGAGCTGCAGCATTTACGCATAGAGGAGAATCCTATTCTTAAGTTGTCTCATCTAGAAGCCATGTCCATTTTGCTTGTGGGTCCAACTCTAAAGAAGTTCAATGACAGAGGTATTCAAGAATTATCAGTAGATTAAAATCTTCCCATGCTTATGTTTGTCTTCGTTATGATACTATTACATGTCTTTCTCTAAATCTGCAATTGATTTTTTAAAATAATTTTGTTTCTGCTCCTACTTTTCTTAGATTATGAAAGTTTGGAATTGGAAAAGTATCTGCACTCTAATCTCTTAGTGCATTTATTGTTCTCTCTACACACACATATAAGTTAAGGAGTTGTCTCTAAAAATACCTGCAGATCTTTCAAGGGAGGAAATTTCACTTGCCAAACGTTATCCTGCTCACACTGCTCTCTGCATCAGAGGTGGCTGGGAGTTCTGTCGTCCTGATCATGCTGTAGGTGAGTTCTTTACAGTGTGCTTGTTTTAGCAGTTGGATTTACATTTTTGCTCTCTGGATGTTACACATCTATATATTACTCATAATTCGTATCATTCTAGATAGTTGGAATTTGAAGAGTTTTAAGAATTTCTTGTGTCCTATGGTCCAGTACTGAACTAGTGCTATGCATTAAAAACTGTGCATCCTGTACAACCTTGTCTTTGCTGACAATTGTGATCCAGTCTTGTAGTCTAATTCGAATGCAAACACTAATGTGCCATTTGTAGGTGTTCTTATAAGCTTTAGAGTATCACACGATGCCTTAATATTTGCATATCCTACACTTATTTAAAGGTTACTTTACTTTCCTAGTTCAGATGCTCCCTTTTCTTTTTCAATTCAGGAATTATTCTAGTTTACTAAAACCATCTAGTATTACCGCACATTTCTTATTCTTTTTTTAATAAAAAAAATTATTATTAGAAACTGAATTCTCAATACGACATTAGGTATTATAAATGTAAGTTTGTGATGCCTCTAATCGTTGCCATAAAATATATTGTAAATATTAGGGACGCTATACAATAATTACTTCTTAATTAATTATGATGAGATATTGTGATGGTAGATTGTCAATTGATTTATTATTGTGTATGTTATAATATCAGTGACCATATTCTAAATGGTGAGCTTGAGGTCATTGCGTTACACGTGTGTTGGACTAATTACAAGATGTTTAGTTTTTAAGCATAAGTAAACTTTACTCGTTCAACAAGAATATCAGATTCCAGTAAACCACATGACCAAATAAATGGTACACTGAAACTGAATCATGTGGAGTTTAGCAACACAAGGCCATCATCCGTAATCTATAGACAATTGACCATTAAAATCTTATTACAGGCATAATAATGGCATTTGATCATTTATCATCCCATCATAATTATTTACGATAGAAGTAATTATTATGTAACATTAGCAATTATGTCTAACGTTTCTAACGCTTGCTCAACTTATGGCCGCGGTTAGAACCATTACAACTTTATGCATAGAATAATTATTGACATTTTTGAATTTCATGTAATCATTTTTTAAAAATACAAAGGAATAAGATATATGTGGTACATGAACTTGAAATATAATAATGGAGGGGTAGTAGTTAATTTGACTAAATTTGATGGTATACTTAGTTGACGTTTGAAAGCAGAGGACAAAAATTTTGTTTTGATCAAACCAGGAGGTGTTTATAGTGATTAACAGGAGTTAGGCTTGTCTTGATGTACACTATTTCGGAAACTGGAAGCAGAAGAAAAAGTAGCACTTCACTTGTAAAACATTTGTTTGCATTATAGCCTTTAATTAATACTGGCCGCAGTCCTTTCGGAATATTTCATTTTCATGATTTTAGAGCATAAGATATTCTGATTTCTTTTTCTCATACTTTGATCGGCGATCTCTCTATGTACTATGCGCTGATGACTGATATCTAGGTATATGTGAGTGGGTTTCTGTGCACTGTCTAGATATGCAAATCCAAAGCATCGGGAAGAGGAATCCGTTGCCTTTGGTAGCTTAGCCTTTCCTTCTCATGTGTTTGAATAGCTTTTTGTGTCTTCCACAGATTCGACATTTCAGTTTTTGCTTGAACAATGGAAGGAAAAGCTTCCACCAGGATACTTACTCAAAGAAGCTTTTATAGACCTTCCATTCGAAGAAGATGCTTGTTACTGCCACTTTAACTTCTCTAAAGACAAAACTGATGTTAGTGATTCGGAAATAGTCTTGAAATACCAATGGTTTATAGGAGAGAAAACTCCTTCCAACTTTGTGGAAATTCCTGGTGCAACAGGAGAGGTATTGTCATTCTCATGTACCTCAAGTTGTTTCTAAATTATATGTCTGATTTATTTATTCTCTCTTGTAACTAATTCCATGAGAATCAGTTCTATTGGCCAAAGCATGAAGATATTGGAAGAATTCTGAAAGTGGAGTGTACTCCTGTCCTGGGAGAAAAGGAATATCCTACCATTTTTGCAATTTCGTCTCCAGTATCACACGGTATGCCCTTTTTGTTGGGTTTGCACCCTAACTTTTTGGGGACCAAATAAGTGATTATTTCATTATGTTTATTGTGAAGGAACTGGATGCCCAAAAGTATTAAGGACTGAAGTTTGCGGGGACCTGGTTGAGGGATGCATAATAAAAGGTTATGCAGAAGTTGCCTGGTGTGGTGGTACTCCTGGGAAAAGTGTTTCAAAGTGAGTCATATTATATTTCTGCCAATGCAGTATCAGATTCTATATTTTCTGATAAAAGACCGTAGAGTGTGCATGATTTGAGGGTAGGGGAGAGGAGGGGAGAGAAACATCTCCCTTCCCCTTGTTCGCTTTAAATATTACTCCCTCCGTCCCCCTTATATTGTCCCGTTTTACCTTTTCGGGAAATCCCACTAAAATTGTCCCAAACCATATTTGGTAAAGTTTGTGTGGCTCTAAATCATTCTTACTTCATTCTTACTTTATCAATTAATATCAACCACACAAACCCACTTTTCTTAATAATCGTGTCACCCCCTTCCGTACCAATATAAAAGGGACGGAGGTAGTAGTAAAGAGAGGGGCCAAAATTCTTCCTTCCTCCCACCCCCTTACTTCCCTCCCCCCCAAATTGGAGGGGAGCTCCCCTCCCCACCATTCATTCCCTCCCTCTTGTCATGCCAAACAACCATTATTTAAAGTTACGAGTGCTCCATGATTCTGTGCCAAAATACCCTTAAGTGCTCTAAATCAACTTAGTAACCACACTTTTCTTGTATTTCAGTTGGTTAAGGAAAAAATGGAATAGCAGTCCCGTGGTCATTGTTGGCGCTGAGGGTTATGAATACCAATTGAATATCGATGATATTGATTCATGCTTGGTATTTATGTACACCCCTGTTACTGAAGAAGGTTCCAAAGGGGAACCACAATATGCAATAACTGATTACGTTAAAGCAGGTATGGTTGAAGCAGGGATGTCCTCTCTTTTTCCTGGTGTTTCTCATTTGATAAATAGTTCCCAATACAAGTTGACCACTAGAAAGTTTAGCTGCTGATATTTTGCCTTAGTTCTTCAAAAGTGACTTCTATATTCTAATATGAAAAAATAGAAGTAATAGTAAACAATTCTTTAGGGTCTCATTCACTTTGTATAATGTTTAGTAGGTTATGGATGACCAGAACGTAACCCCACAAGGAAGAAGTTGACTTGTGGGGTCACGACTGTAAGAAGAAAGAATAAGGGGCAGGTGGCGGAAGAATAAAGAAGAGGAGGAAATAAAACATAAAAAAGAAAAAAGAAGGAAGAAAGTGAAAAAAGTAGAATCCACGTAAGCATCATAACCGGCTGACTGGAACGTAACCTACTAAATCAGACATTTTAACGTTTTTGTAAACTTCACCGGCTTAATTGAGTGTTTTTTTAGTTTGAGGGTTTAATTGACTTATTTGATGTACTACGAGAGCCTATTTGACAGTTTCCCGTTATTTAATCATGTATTAGTAGAAATAATAAAAAGTGGATATTCGGAATGTATAAATTGACAAATTTATCAGCATTTAAAATTACATGATTTGTTTTATATATTAGTAAAAATAAGGTTAAAATAGGGTATGTGAATAGTGCAACCGACAATGTTCGGGACTTACAAAACAGAGAACTGGGGAGTTATATTTCAAATTCAGGATTGGGAGAAATCCATTTACTGGGTTCTTGGTTTTCAAATTGACAACTGAACCAATCCAGTTTTTCCTCATATTGACAGCTTCCCCATCTGTCAGCGGCCTGCACTTCATTGGAGATCCAGTTGAAGGTAATGTCATTAAAGGAGTTGGGAAGTATTTTGGTGGTAGGGAAGGTCCTAGCAAATTTGAATGGTTGCGCGAAGATAATGAAACTGGGTTAGTTCTCTTCCCTTTTGTGTTATAATCCTAAGCTTTATCATAGTTCTAAAATTTATCACTTTTCTACTACTGTAAATGGCTATATTTTGTATTAATTAGACATCTTCTGGGGCTAATTGGATGAAAGTAGTTCGCTCTTGAACCAAGGGAAATCCTTCTTGCCAATATAGGAGCCTTAGCCAACTTAAGCTATTCCAGCCTACATCAGTAATTCTTATTCTAATATTATTATGCTAAGATCACTGTTAATGCTTATGGAATCCCTGAAATCTTTGTTAGTATGCAAAGTACTCTTTCTTTCTAGTGAAATATTACGGTTTTTAAACGAAATTGACGTTTATCTACTTGATCAAAATGCCTTCTACTCTTCTAAAAGTTCATTTATTTATTTTAATTTTTTTTATTGTGTTGTTTGAAACAGGGGATTTGTGTCAGTATCAACTGGTACAAATGAATATACTCTGATGAAGGAGGATGTTGGGCACCGGTTAGCTTTTGTATATGTACCGGTTAACTTTGAAGGCAAGCAAATTATGTTAATATGCTGGACTTTCAATACATTGCTTTATTCTTTATGTTAATTACATTTGCAGAAGGCTGATTGGCTGTTTCTCCCTTTTATTTTGTAGGCCATGAGGGGAAATCTGTATCAATTGTGTCTCCGATAATTAAGAAAGGTTTGTTTTGACCAAGTTCTCATACTGTTGCTTTTAGTAGCGTTCTTATATCATGGTGACTTGTATAATGTTTCAAGTCATGAAGAAAAGCTCCATGGAAAATTAAGGTTATGGTGTGATCTTTGATGTTATTTTTTTGGTTAAAATCCTTTCTGTCGGTCCTATGGCAGCTCCCCCGAAGGTAACAAATCTGAAAATAATCGGAGAACTGAAGGAAGGCAGCAAAATCACAGTAACTGGTATTGTAACTGGAGGAACTGAAGGATCAAGTAGAGTTCAATGGTTCAAATCTGGTTCACCGTCACTTGACGATGAGAAAGATCTTGAATCATTGAGCGCATCTAAAATTGCTAAGGTGCGAATATTTATCTGTGATGTCTAAAATTCAGCTCTGTTCTTTGTGTCTACTGAATTAGTTACTTTCTTTGAGCACATCTAAAATTCCTAGGTGTGAATATTTATCAGTGATGTCTAAAATTCAGCTTTGTCTTTGTGTCCACTGAAATAGTGTCTTTCTTTTAGGCATTCCGAATACCCTTGGGAGCTGTTGGATACTTCCTTGTTGCAAAATTTACTCCAATGTCTCCAGATGGTGATGCTGGTGAACCATCTTATATTTTATCGGAAAGAGAAATCGAAAGTACGTTCAACTCCAATTTGTTTTGAATTTCTAACAACACTCAAGCCTCAGTCCCAAAAGAATTTGGGGCCGGCTAACATTAATCGGCAAATGATATCGTAGTTAAAAATATGAGATAGCTATTTTCTCCATTTGGAGTTATTATTGAATAGACTATTCTTGCAATATTCTGATTACATTTTTAGTTTGGGTGCTTTACATGGATGCTTTTGAACTTATTTATTGTTCAAAGTTTTAGTCCCAGAGAAACTTTCGGTTCCTAAGTTGTTCAAAGTTTCAAACCTCTATGTTTTTAACTTAAATATCTTGGATATAAATTCAATTAGCTCAAACTCTTTTGTTCTAGTTTGGACCTTCGAATCCTTAGTTGTTCAAAGGCTAACCCTTCTGTTAAAAGATTGGTATTTTGGACATAATTGTAATTCACTCAGATGTTATGCTCACTTGACCATCTTCTCGGAAAGATTGCTTACATGGGTTTGAACTGTTTGCAGCACTTCCACCCAGCCTGAACTTTTTATCACTCACTGGTGATTGCATTGAGGGTGAAATTCTTACCGCATCATATGGTTATATTGGTGGTCATGAAGGAAAAAGTATTTATAATTGGTATCTTCATGAGGTATTATGTTATTTTGTTAGATTAGATGATAGTGGTGTATGTACTTGGTTCTCTTATTTTAGGCAAAATATGTCTAAGAAACACATAATTAGGAAATGGCCTCTTAAATGATTAAAACATGACATTGAAGAAGACCAGTCCTAATACACACACTCATGGGTCACATTCCATAATTAACAAATAAAGATACTGCATTTACACCAAGTGGTAAAAGGTCGCTATAATGGAATATAGGATGCACTCATACACAAACCATTTATGTTCTTTGTCCTAGTTCTTTTGCTTTAATTGGTGCGCTTGCTTATTATGATATTACCATACACCAGTTATATGCTTTTTATGTTCCTTGATTTTGCAGGGTGAAAATGACTCTGGTGTAAATATACCAGAAGTATCAGGTCTTCTTCAATATCGCTTAGCTAAGGATGCTATTGGTAAACTTGTATCATTTAAATGCACTCCAGTCCGAGATGATGGCACAATTGGTGAGTCAAAAGTTTGCAAAGGCCAAGAACGTGTTCGCCCAGGTAATTTTATTTAGTGTGAGAAATTTCATCACCTTAAAATAACAAGGAACGTGTTCGCCCAGGTAATACAAAGGAACTGCATTCTGAGCCTTGATTGTGCAGAAGAATTTAAAAGACTCGCTTCAAAGTTAAGAGCTACTACCTCCGTACCCCTAAGTTTGGTACATGAGGAGGTGGTACAGTTATTAAGAAAAGTGAGTTTATGTGGCTAATATTGAATTTATAAAGTAAAAGTAAAGTAGAAACGATTTATAACCACACAAACATTACCAAATTTGGTATGAGACAATCTTAGTGGGACGGACTGAAAATGAAAGATGAGATAATCTTAGCAGGATGGAGGGAGTATTTGGTAAGGGTGAGTTTGGCTTAAGGACTTGAGATGTTGAATTATGGCTTTATTATTAACTTAATATACATATTTTCAATTGTCGTCAAATTTACAAATCTATCCTATTCTATACATTTTATCTTAAGAAGTCTTAATCTTCAAATTTTCATAACTATTGTAATTATAATCTTTGCCTTGAGTTTTAAAAATTAAAATTAATCTCATAATTAGCACTTTTATATGCTTGTGTTTAATGAAACTTATGAAACAATATTTAAAAAAACATTTATTTAGTTTTACACATTAATCTCTAACTGCCAAATTTTCTAAGTCTCTCAAATTAAATATTCTCTGACTATTTCATGAATAAGCAGTTCGTGCAATAACTTATTTGACAATAGTTGGTACAATAATCTAAGCGAGTTTTTTTCCGTATTAATGCTAATTAATTAAGTATTTACGAAAATAGGGTTGGGTTAAAAGTATTTACGGGTATACTGCTGGGCTTAACCCTGGTCGGGGTAAGTCGCCAAACCGTTTGGCGACTTATAAGTCGCCAAACCGGATGTCGACTTATAAGTCGCCCAACGGTTTGGCGACTTACCCATAAATTAAAGCACCGGGTTAATTTAAAAAAAAAGTCAGTATCGAGAAAGAAAGTTCTAAAAAAAGGAAAGAAAGAAAAGAGGGGCAAAATTGTCTTTTGAGACTCGCTGAATTTTACGACTATCGTGTCCGCAGGTCGCCCCGCGCAGGGGGGTGCGAATTTTCGATTTTGAACTAGAAGCCGGAATTCTTGTGTGCGCGAGAGTTCCCCTCTTCTCATTCACCTTTTAATACTAAGCGAAGAGTGGTTCATATTTATAGGCTCAAAAGTTCCCAAGGGGTTTAGGTGTGAGAAAGTTTAAAAGATTCCTTTTTCTCCTATACTTAAGAAGAGCATTTTTTCCATCTACCTTCTTTAAGAGCTAGTTTTTGAGCCACTTCAAACTTCAAAGTTCTAAACTCCAACACCAAAGTTCAACACTACAATCAAAGCTTCCAAGAGTCAACCTTGAGATTAAAAAAAAAAATCTCAAGGTTAAGACTACTTTTCTCAAACTCCAAGCTACATTTCAAGGTCCAGGAATTTGCAGAAAATTTCAATCAACCTCACGTCTACGGTCAACATGAAATAATCAGCAATGGATGTTGTTAAGATTTGGAATGTAAACATTGTCAGTTTCGGACAACATCCATTGCTGATTGTTGAATGTTGACCGTAGACGTGAGGTTGATTGAAATTTTCTGCAAATTCCTGGACCTTGAAATGTAGCTTGGAGTTTGAGAAAAGTAGTCTTAACCTTGAGATTTTTTTTTTAATCTCAAGGTTGACTCTTGGAAGCTTTGATTGTAGTGTTGACCTTTGGTGTTGGAGTTTAGGATTTTGAAGTTTGAAGTGGCTCAAAAACTAGCTCTTAAAGAAGGTAGATGGAAAAAATGCTCTTCTTAAGTATAGGAGAAAAAGGAATCTTTTAAACTTTCCCACACCTAAACCCCTTAGGAACTTTTGAGCCTATAAATATGAACCACTCTTCACTTCGTATTAAAAGGTGAATGAGAAGAGGGGAGCTCTCGCGCACACAAGAATTCCGGCTTCTAGTTCAGAATCGAAAATTCGCACCCCCATGCGCGGGCGACCTGCAAACACGATAGTCGTAAAATTCAGCGGGTCTCAAAAGACAATTTTGCCCCTTTTTTTTTTAAACTTTCTTTCTCGATACTGACTTTTTTTTTTAAATTAACCCGAACCCGGTGCTTTAATTTATGGGTAAGTCGCCAAACCGTTGGGCGACTTATAAGTCGCCATCCGGTTTGGCGACTTACCCCGACCAGAGTTAAGCCCAACAGTATATCCGTAAATACTTTTAACCCAACCCTATTTTTGTAAATACTTAATTAATTAGCATTAATACGGAAAAAAACTTAATCTAAGCAGTCATATTTATTATCTAATAAAGTTATGTTATTTCCACTAAAATCTTGAGCTCTTTCTCAGTCTAATAGTTGTGTGTGACGCTTTTATTCTCCTAGTTGTGCTTCAGATGTTTTGCACCATTATTTTCATAGTTTGTAATGTTAATTAATGCCCCCTCCGTCCCTAAATAATCCACATGCTTTTTCATTCATCCCAAAATTATCACCCATTTCCGTCCTCTATATTGTAACCATGCCGTTCTCACTTTCTTAATCTACATGCTAAATCAATTGGTGTTTATTAAGGGGACAGTGGGAGTGCTTGATTCTCCGCACATTTTATTTTTTGAAGTTCTTGACCTTAAAAAACTTGGAAAAAGTTGGGAATTCTTCCTTAAGTAATTATTACTAATTAAATACTCACTGGAAGTATAATTGCAAAGAAGGATGATGTTTGAGTTTTTTGATAAAATGTAAAAAATAGCATATATATTTGAATTTGACGATAGTTGGAAATATATTATTAGGAAAGTTTTCTGATCTACCTTCCTGCTAAAAGAGCCCAACAATCCCCCCAGAACTAAAAGAACTCCCAACTTAATTCTTCTATTTAGCCTGTTACCCATCGGTTACCAACCAACATGTGGCAACACTTCTTTTATTTGTGCATTCTGTCAGTGTATCGGCACTTATTTGACATTCATCTCACTATCTAAAACACTTGATTAAGTTTCCTTTTATTTTCCCTTTTCATTTCTGTTTTTTGTTATTCATAAAATGGGGCACACAGGAATATTCGGGGATAGCAAGGGATACTTTAGGGACACTAAAGATGTTTTTTTAGGATTTTTTTTAAAACCCAGAAGGTAAACCTCAGTGTGAGGGGTAAGGCCTAGGCTTACCTTACTAATTTTATTAATAGAATTAGGTAAATTAATATAACTATAAAATGCTTAACTGAAGTGACGATTAACAAAAACCTAGATCTATCTCGTGTTTCACATCAACCAATTTGTTGCTCTGAATCAGAAGAAACGACCCAGACTCTAATCAAACATTAAAGTCCCTCCGTCTCACTGGACATTGCCTACTTTGATTTGGGTGTTGAATAAGAAAAATAAAAACTATGTTGTTGAGATTTGTGCTGAGGAGAGAGAAATAAGGAGAACCACAAATTCATTACTTTAAAAGGAAAGTGGCAAAGTTTTTGGGACAAACAAATAAGGAAAGATGGCAAAGTCCAATGGGACAGAGGGAGTATCCATTATGCTCGGTTTGTTCACTTCTACTTGCTCCACTTTCCTTTTGTGGGAATTTAATATTACTTGCCCTCTTTGATTTTTTGGTAACTTTTCCCACCCTTTGATCTCTAAAGACATAATTATCCCTACTTTTTCGTCTTCTCTTAATCTCTTCCGATCTTTTTCTACGTCTTCCTCTCTATGCTACTTTATTAGCTTTTCAACACTGTCCACTACCCTTGCAGCTGACTCTTAATTTCCCTGAAAAACTACTGGTGTGAGTAAAAGTGAGCAACAGGAATATTATGCCTAAATTGTGGTCTCCCTGCTGTAACCGTGTTGAGTATACTTAGAAAATGTTGGATCCGTACCAGTATGCATATATGTTTCTGTGCTTCATACCTTTGAGCTTTGTTCCAAGGTCAATCTTGTAACCATTTCCATTCTTCTTCTCAACCACTTTAGTTGGACTATCCCGCGAGACTGTAACCTTGATTTTTGATGGTGTCAAATCTTGCGAATATAGAAGCTAAACTTAAAAATTTAAAATTATTAATGTTGAAATGGACTTGGACGTTTGTGCATCAATGCTGCGTTTTTTCCTTGTTACACAGTTTCTTGGTCTTCATTTCTTTAGTTAAACCATCGAAGTAATCCCTCTCAGACTGTCAGTACTTGACAACCTGCAGAGTCCCAAGGATAGGGTATAAAACCTTAAACTACTTGACGGAATATATAGGTGGTAGAGTGGCCAATCTATACGCATCTTCTACTTAAGTTGAACAATCACATGATGTTTTTCACTTACTTCTGGAATCTGGATCACTGAGCACATGAGTCTCCTGGTATAGCTTCAGTCTCTCGGTAGTGGACCCGGTGCTAGTTTGTGTCATTTATCCTTGACTAAACAGCCTACATATTCTGATACGTATTCTCAGCCAGCGGATGGATGTAGCATGGGAAGAGAGGGGCGCATAGGTCCTGCTGGTGACTTGGTATTACCCCAATATATGCATAACTGAAAGCCCATTAAGGCATTATTGGACATTTTAAAGTAAAATCCTTATGAAAACCATATATTGATATAAATGGATATATGTTTTAATTGAAATTTACTCCAAGTATGCTCTGGGTGTTGCCTCACTTTGTGCCTCTCACATGTAAGTGACGTAACTAGTTTATAGCACCGCCACCAAAGTAATTATGTGTATTCTGAGTTTCATTAAAATGGTTATGGTTTTGTAGGGACTCCGAGATTGCTTTCCTTACAAATAGTTGGGGTTGCTATTGAAGGCTCCACATTACATGTTGAAAAAGAATATTGGGGTGGTGAAGAGGGAGACTCTGTCTACCACTGGTTCAAGGTAAGTAAACGTATCAAGCATAATTATTAGACTTTTAACCTTTTAATTTTTATATATCCTAGTTCACAGCCACAAGTAGAGTTGAACATATGGAACGGTTCCATATAATGAAGTTTTTTTTGGGGTTAGGAAACATGTTCTTGTCAGCTTCTTGAAATAAGCAAAGCATAGTAGTCATGTCTTGTGCATTTTCTAGAATTAGATCTGACACTGTCTTACTGGTAGAAATTCCCTGTGCAGACCATTTCAGATGGAAGACGCATTGAAATCAATGGCGCTACAGATTCATCCTATTTACTTTCACTTGATGATGTTGGCTATTTTATATCTGTATCCTGTGAACCCATCCGTTGTGATTGGGCCCGTGGTGCTATTGTTCTTTCAGAGCAAGTTGGGCCTATCCTTCCAGGTATCGACAAATAACTAGTTGTCATTTCCAAACTATATATTAACTTCAAGTTGGGCCTATAATGCTTTCATTGCTTACCTATAAATCTATCCCACCAAACAAAAGACTTGGGAAAGCTGAGGTACTTCCTAGGCATTGAGGTCGCACTGTCTCAAACTGAATTTCCCTCTCACAAAGAAAAGACGCCTTGGACATTCTTGAGGAAACAAGTATGCTGGAGTGTAGACCAGTGGATACACCAATGGATCCAAACATCAAACTGTTGTCAGAACAAGGGAAAATATGGAAGGAGACCCTCTGGGCAACAAGGGAAAATATGGAAGGTTCATTGTCAAACTAAATTACCTTTCCATCAAGGGTCCAGATAGTTTCATTCGCGATAGGTGTTCTTAGTCAATTTCTTGATAAGCCATGTAACAAACATTGGGATGTAGTTATCTGAGTCTTAATATGCATCAGTGCATCACTAAAACATCAGGACAAGGGTTGCTATTCGATGACCGAGGTCACTGTGATATTGTGGGATACTGTGATGCCGATTGGGCCGGATGTCCAACCCAATAAATATTATCACCTTGCAGATGTTTTTTTTAACCCGGAAGGCAAACCACCAAAATCAGTGGGGCAAATGCCGGGGAACGTTTGCCAAGTTAAAATCACCTTGCAGATATTTTAACTAAGTCTCTTAGAGGTCCTAGAGTGGAGTATATTTGAAACAAGTTTGGTGCATATGATTTATATGCTCCCGCTTGAGGGGAAGTACGGAAACCCTAGTTGTATTGCACCTAGCCCATTTTGTATTGGAACCTTAATACTCTAATATGGCTATAAATATAGCTACTTGTGTAGCATTTTGATATCAAGAATAATAAATATCATTATACTTTTCACAGTATAAAAAGTGTGCAACTTCTTATTTGCAGGGCCACCAACTTGCCATTTGCTCGAATTTGATGGATCTTTGATTGAAGGGGAACGTGTTGGCTTCACGGCTTCTTATACTGGCGGGTTGAACTACTAGACATGTATCCAATATATAGATTTCTGTTCCTTGATTTCTTCTATTGTGTTATCTTTTAGTAATTTATTCTTCAGGGAGATGGGTGAATGTTCATGTGAATGGTTTCGAGTGAAGACTGGTGGTATCAAAGAAAAAATCAGTTCTAGCGGCAAGTATTCCTGAAATGAAAATTTATACGTTTTGAACTTTTTGTCAAGATGTCAGACCTCAAATGTTTGAGGTGATCTTATTTTCTTTGCAGACTTTTTGAATTTGACTATTAGTGATGTTGAGAGTCGCATAGAGCTTATTTACACTCCTATAAGAAAAGATGGGATGAAAGGAAGTCCCAAGAGCATTATGTCTGGACCAGTAGAGCCTGGTGAGTTTTTCCGTTTGTGAAAGTATATTAGAATATACTTTAGAATATGCTTTCACAATTATAAAGTATATTCTAATATACTTTCACACCGTTAATGCACACCTATGAGTCACATAAACATCCCAAAGCTTACGTTTCCCCGTTTCGGAAACTCGGAAGCATGTCGGAAACTCGGAAAATTCAATTTCCCTTTTCAGGACCATTTCCGTAATTTAAAAGAATTGGGAAATCCATTTCCCTAAATAATTAGCTTTTCAAAAACTTTGGGTTTCCAATTTTGTTTTCTTTTTCTGGGACTCCTTGATGGAATGTAGTGATTTTTTTCATATCCTATATTTTTTAGAAATCTCTTTTGTCACACTTTCCGTTTCCCGTTTCATGCTCTGCGTTCCGGTGCTTACATAGATGCATACATTTATACATCTTTGTTAATAAAATGTCTGGACAAGTTGTGGTTGGTAAGTTGATTGTAGGATATGCAAATTTGTATATAATGTGATGGTAGATTTGTTTCATTTGATTCTACATCATATTCTTTCGTAGATCAAATGATTACATACTGCAGTTGATATATAACAATAATATTCAGCCATACAAAATTTACTGTTGCTTGGACTATCATGAAATAGCAGGTTATGCTTGAATAATGTGCATCATTGTAACTTTCCAATCATCTATACTTTATCTTCACTACATAATCATAAATGGGTTATCGTTTCCGCATATATTGACATTTGGACATTATAGAAGAAATTTGTTAAGGTAACATAGTGTATGTGCTTGGGTGTCTATTCTCATCATCAACCTCTTTATTTAACTATATTTCCTTGATATAGGGGAACCAAAGGGGGTAGAATTAACAATTCCCGAATGCTATGAAGGCAAGGAGGTTATTCCTGTAAAGAGATATTTTGGAGGTAAAGAAGGGCTTGGAGAATATACATGGTTTAGAATAAAGGATAAGCTTCATGGAGCCGCACTACTAGATGCACCGTACAGCCTAGTCGATGCTCATACATGTTGCAAGACTTTGTAAGTTTTTAAGTATAAATTGGTGATATGACATGCTACTGTAAAGTCTACTATGGCAGCACTCATATAACTATTTTCGTGCCAGAATGTATACTCCTACCCTGGAAGACGTGGGAACGTACTTGGCTTTATACTGGCTTCCAACGCGTGTCGATGGAAAATCTGGAAATGCACTGGTTTCCATTTGTGAATTTCCTGTTTCTGCTGGTACAGTCCTTACTACATAATCCTGCTTGTATTATTAAGTAATGACCGTTTGAGGTACCTATTTATGAACTGGTTCATTAAACCATTGTATCACCCTTATTTCAAATCATTCAAAGGAATTTTGTATTTAGTCTTGGATTCACTATTAAGATCCTTTAAATCCTTTTCCTTACACCATCGTCTATTTCAACTTTGGTAAGTGTTTATTTGAGTTCAAAGTTATCTCAAAGTTTATTAAAATGCTAAAATAAAATTTATGGCAGCTTCTCCTGTAGTTTCCAATGTTCATATAGAGGAGTTATCATCAAGTACTTACCTCGGGGAAGGAAACTATTTTGGTGGTTATGAAGGATCAAGCTTATTCAGTTGGTATAGAGAAACCAGTGATGGGAAAAGAACTCTAATTGATGGAGCAAATTCTAGAACATATGAAGTAACCGATGAAGACTATACTTGCCGTATTGTATTTGGGTAATATGATCATATTATCTTCATCTGAAGTGTATATTAGAAGATACTCATGTTAGGTGATGGTACTCTGTGGTTGCTAAAAGATGATTCTGTAGAATCGTCCAACTCCTATTGTTCATGTCTAAACTCTATGGTTGTTAAGAGTTGGTTAGAAAATTGGCAAGATACTTGAGTTAGTTGGTGCTACATTATGTAGAGTTGCTAAGTTATAATTGGCCTCTTCCATACTCCTGGTGTGCATGCACCATATTTTTTTTAACCACATTCACACTTTCTCCCAACAAACACAGTAACACAGTCAAATGTGTGTGAATGTGCAGTTTAAAAATACCTAATGCATGTGTACTAGATGTAGGATAAGAAGACTGGTGGCTCTGTAGAATTTGTCTACTCCTAATTTGTCTAATCAGATTTATTTCATGGCCTGAAACATTCAGGGAAAAAGAAATGATTGATTCGTAATAAACAATTATGTCCATGTGTGTAAGTAAACATATTTTTGGAAATCTTGTGGGTAAATCTTTGATGTACATTTTCCTATTGCATAAGATATAATAATAATTTTGAATTCCATCTTCACAAACAAGTTGATCTATCTTGTAGATATACACCGATCCGCTCAGATTCGGTTGTTGGAGAACTTAAATTATCTCAGCCAACTGATGTGGTTCTCCCAGGTTCATCTCTGATCATTATATTACATTGGAGATGTATTATAAATTGTTTTCAAAGCATCACATCTTCTAATGATATAAACTGTCAAGGACTTGAACATGTAATCATCTGAAGTCTTTGTAATATCAAGATAGTTGTAGCCAATAATCCAATGTTACTTTGTATAAACTGCAATATTGCCTAGTGCTTAAATATTCAAATGAAAGTTCTACATTTACGGGTCGCGCAAAGTCGTAGATCAGTCAATGACTTCTATGAATGTGCAACAGTATTTCTTTTTTGTGGTTGATGAAGATGCAAAATTTCAGTTATAGCATCAGCATCATATAACCTTGAGACCCTCAGCTTCTGAAAATCATTCTTTTGCAATTCAGAGCTTCCAAGAATTGAGAAACTAGTTCTTTCTGGGAAGAATATTGAAGGGGATGTTCTCACAGCTATCGAGGTTATCCCACAAAGTGAAAGCCAAGAAGATGTTTGGGGAAAATACAAGAAAGATGTCAGATACCAGTGGTATGGTTTCTTATATGAGTTCTATATGCGTGGATTCCTAGCTTTTTTCTAAAACGAAATTTGTCTTTCTGATTCTCAATGTTTACAAGGGAGCATTATCTCCATCTTAATCATTGACACCTTAACCCTGACAAATTGGGACTGGTGGCATGAAATTTACGTTGTTAATTCGTTAACAGACTAAGGGACCATTACTTATGACTTAATGGACTTGGTGAGAAAGACGATTAATCGTTCAGTCATTAAGTCATGTTTACTTACGACTTGATTGAAAACACGACTTATTCATGCAGTAAAAAAATTGACTTAATCATTAAGCTGTGAAAAGGCACTCCTTACCATTTAGACGCTCATTAAGACGTTTATTCAGACAATTTTTTTTAATACCTAATATGGAATAGATATATGTTAATAAATGACATTATTCATTGTCAATATAACTTAATAATAATATTAAATTGATTAATAATAATAATATTCAGATGTTTTATTCAACACACAAAATAAACCGCTTCATATACAAACACCACTTAATCCAAACAGACGACTTACTACAGACGACTTAATCCAGATAGGACTTAAAAAACAGTAAACAGCCCCTAAGTGTATCCACAAAACACCGTAACTCCAGCCTAAAAAGCAGAGGTGAAATTCCAAACACTCATCATTGTAATTTAGTGAAAAGTAGCATGAAAAGGTCATTATACAAGATCATTGCTTCAATTATGTCCCATTACAAGATTGATATTGTACAACCAAATTTGCAATATCATAGAGCATGGCAGATCAATATGCAAAAAATCACTCAAATCAACATCATTATCTGAAACAGATAATGAAAAAAAAAACAGATACTCTTGGTACAGTTTTGTTAACGCAAATGTGGTATATTATTCTCAGGAGGTGTGATTGCCATGTGAATGATATTTATATCGTGCTCTTTTCTTCAATTGGTCTGCTTGGTATTATATTGGTAACAGGCTCAGGCGCCAGTCCTATATCGTCTGCGGCACAAAGCGCAAAACAAGACGCACACCAGACTCATGCAACTATGCAAGGCATACAATTTGAAAAGATTATATATCAACCATATGCATGATGATATATGTACAAAAATGATCTATTTAATGTAAAATTAAACTATATGCACCAAAATGATATAAACTTAACAATCTTTATACTGTCATAATCCATGATGCTAGCGAATGCAAATTAAAAAAAGTCATGATTTGCAAAAAGAAACACTAATTCATAAGTCATAACTATAATAACAAAGTAAAATCGCAATGTGTTTTACATTGTAGCCCAAGTCCTAACTCTCAAGGATCATTTGTTATTAAAAAGGAGTCGGTCTTTTCCTATCATTTGCTTATATTCTCCAACACTAGTAAATGTGTTATGTCTCCTAGTAAATCTCATGAGTTCGTGTACTCCTGTTTTCCTAACATCACCCCATGTCAAGCCACCACCTTCATGTTCACTGAAGGAGAGAAAACTGCCAAGGAAAAGAACACAGAAACTCTCTTATGCTACCAGTCCCTGCACCATGTCCTACTGTCTTGTGTGGAGGATGGTTTTTCCGTTATGCCTTATTACTTGATGGGATAACCCACTAAACTGTAATTATGAATATAGGTTTTCTGGAAAAATAGGCCCACGTCTTTGTGGAAAGAAAATTGGCTGAAAATCCAAATCCGACCTAGGCGCTCTAAGCATGTACCTTGTACCTATTTGTGCATTTCGTGCGCTTTTGATGAGCCTGAGAACTCTTAAAGTGCTCACCCTTGGTATCACCTCATCTGCTGTGCTTAAGCGCTCAGCCGCTCATTTATGATTACCCTGAACATACTCATAGCTTTTGTTAAGCTTAATTCTGATGGTAATAATCAATACTGTTTTCGAAAAAATTCTATACCATAATATTAATTAATATATAAATAAGGGTTTCTGTTTGGCTCTCAAATCTCCAAGTAATACTAGTTATCACCTTTCTTCGGTTATTATTTTTATTTTTATTGAGTTATCGCTTTCTTCAATTATATTTTAATATATGTATTCACATTGAACATTTATCTTTTTGGATATTTAAAATAGATAATCAAAACTTTTGATACATTGATGTACTGCAGGTTTGTTTCATCTGAAAAGGGCAGTGAAAATTCCTTTGAGCCTTTATCATCACAGCATTCTTGCTCATACAAGCTTCAGTTTGAGGACATAGGCCATTCTATTAGGTGTAAATGCATTGTGAATGATGTTTTTGGAAGGTCAAGTGATCCAGCTTATGCGGAAACTACTACTATTTTACCAGGTTTTTATGCAGAAACTGCTACTATATGCGGAAACGCTATGTTTTAGTTATCATTACTTAGGAGATAAATGACTTTTGGTTTGTACGGGTTATGCAGGTTTCATCATCCATCTTTTGTATTTTTTTTTTTAAATATTACTTCTTGTTTTTTTTCCTGGTTGGTCTAGTGTGCTGCTCTAAAAAAATTATTATCTGAGGTTTAAACAGGGAGAAATTTCTCTGTTTGGGGGTTCAAGTGTTAAAAAGTATCCGTATTGTGTCATTGTGTCTCCTTTTCAAGTAGACATCTCTTCTTTTTGCTTGCCCAACGTGAACTTTTTAATCTTTCCCCTTTCATTGGGGCAGAGTTTTGTTCTTACTAATTTCACTATCACACATTACCTATAAAATTTGATCCCAAATTATTTCCCCTCTTAGCTCTTGTTAGCTTTATCATTTTTGTTGGTATGACTATAACCTAATAAAAGTATGCTTATTTTCAGGCATGCCTAAAATTGAAAAGCTAGAGATTGAGGGAAGAGGGTTTCACACTAATTTGTTCGCAGTTCGTGGTATTTATAGTGGTGGAAAGGAGGGTAAAAGTAAAATTCAGTGGCTTAGGTCAATGGTTGGAAGTCCCGATCTCATTTCTATTCCAGGTATAGTGAAATACTAAATATTAGTTCCTCCACTTCATAATATCTACTTCATTTTGGTTTTAAATCCTTGAGATGCACCAGTCCCTACTACCTACTTGAATAATCTTTTTTAAGGTTATGATACTGTTGAGACCACACCTCAGAATGTGAGAAAACTGTGCAGTCATCTTATCATGTTAGTTTGACATGACCTGCCTAAATCTGGACAAGTGTTGATACTTCTTAAATCGGTGAGGGTGTGCAAACTTGGTATACCATATACATCATCATTATATCCTTTTCCACTTAGCTAGTTAAATAAACTTTTAGAGGTATAAGGTAATGAGCATAACTGTATTTGTTCACTTTTGCTTTGCATATTCTTTCATCAATGCAATAAGACTGATTTCACGAATCAAGATGCCGAAGTTCGTTCATTTCCCCACTTTATGTTCGCAGGGGAGTCAGGAAGGATGTATGAAGCTAATGTTGATGATGTGGGATATAGGCTGGTGGTCATTTATACCCCTTTAAGAGATGACGAAGTTGAGGGACAGCCCATTTCTGCATCAACGGATCCAATTGCAGTAGGTAAATTGGCGTTATTGTTTCACCAGTTTATCACAACAATTACTACTGCTACTGTAATATGCATTGAATTTCCTTATCAATACTTCATAAGATTCGTAGTGTTTTGATTGAGAGGTGTTCGGTTAGTGAATGAAAGGAAGGGCAGGATTATCATCACTTCATAAGATTCATCCGATTTGGCCACAAAATAGTAAACTTGGTAGTTGATATCCAATTTGCGAGAGGAGCAGATAACATATTATTGATTTAACATGTCTGTTCCAACCAATCGAGTAGTATATAGATGAGCATTCATGGGCACACTGTAAGATAAGTCCATTTGGTAGTTAAGTTTGCTCTCTTTCATGTCTGTTCTAGGTAACCAAGTAATATATAAGCGTGTACATCACATCTAGGTTAATTTCGCCCCTTGGAGATCCTATGTTTTGTTCTGGCCCCATTTTATTTATTTTAGAACTTTATGGTACTTAAAATATTAACTTGGTTACCGGGTTCCATTTTTTATAATGAATAGTCCTTTTAAACTGTCTAAAGTTTAAATGCTGTGTATTGGTTGATCTCAGATTCCAACCAGAATAAGCAGTAAATAAGTACAGAATTTTTTGGGTCTTCTTTTAGAATTTTCCCATCAGGCCATCATTTTGTTGAGTTATGGCAGTGTTTGCTTTTTTGTTTGACCGCTTGATTTTTTCGAAGTTCCACCATACAAAAAACACATCTTACTCAACTTCTAATGTTAACATTGTTTGGCAGAGCCTGATGTTCTTAAAGAAGTGAAGCAGAAACTTGAAATTGGATCAGTGAAGTTTGAGGTGCTACTCTGGATGGAATTTACTTTTACTGAACTTTTGTGTGTCTCTACTACTTAATAAATCGTAGACGACTTCATTTGAAGTATTGTTAGGAGATAACCAAACAAACACTTTGTACTGTGTTCTCAGGTTATGTTCTAGTTCTGGTAAAGTGGTAGGCAAGCCTGATATAAATGTAGTATTCAACATAATAACCCCAAAATGAATCGCCTTGACTTTTTTCTTGAGATGAATTGAGCTTGAACATTGAAGTCAAAACTTAAGTTGATCTTGGACTTAGTTTTGAACCTCAGACCTAACTTTCACTTGCAAAATGACTTGACACCATGAAAACTTGAATCTTATTCTTGCACTTCAACCTAATTCCCTTTCAAAAGAATCTCACCTTGTTCTATTCTTCCTCTTTTACTTCCGGTCAATAAAAAGCCACTTTATCGCATGAGCCAGGGGCAGAACCAGATTTGGACTCCAAAGTAAGAGTTATCCAACTTTCATAGAAGGTTCAGGAATCCTTAAACAATCTAGAGTGAAAGAAATTTCTCATACTATGTCTGTTATAATTTCAGAACCAGAGTTCTATTTGTCCTTTAGCAACGTTTGCTTTGGTTTATTTTCCAAGCAATTCCAATATTTTTCACGTGCATGCCCTTCTCTATTCTATTAAAGAAATGAAAATGATGATGCCTTCCTCCACCGATGTGACCAAACTTGTGTTGTAAAATTGAACAGATGTTCAGTCTTCAAACCAAAGGTCTTATCTAGCATGATGTGATTAATGAAACTGATTGACTGTACTGTACTCACTCATGATTTTATGTGTGCTCTGTAATTGTAGGCCTTGTGTGACAAGGATAGATCTTCTAAGAAGGTATAAGTATGACCCCATTTTGTATATTTTTTGGGCATAGTGATGAGAAACACAAACAAATATGTATACATTTAAATATGCATTGCAGGTTCCTGGAGTAGGAAGCCTTGAGAGAAGAATTTTGGAGGTTAACAGAAAGAGGGTTAAGGTTGTGAAGCCTGGTTCTAAAACCTCCTTTCCCACAACTGAAGTTCGAGGAACTTATGCTCCTCCATTCCGTGTAAGTTAATCAACACAAGCACAACCTGTTCTGAGAAGCCCCTCTGACCCTTAGAAAGTATAGCAAATAAATTCAAAGTAATTGAAATAGAAACAATACATGCGATTTTTTCAGTTAGAATACAAATTAAAGGAACAAGGGTATGGCTTAGTTTGGGAGCCATGGTGATGAAGAAGATAATTGCCTTCTCACTTCTCTCCTGGTTTCGGACCACCCCAACCCGTTATAGCTCTCTCCTTGAGATTGAATGTATTGCTAAACTCAATTCAACAAAGTCTTAATCTCAGTTAAATTTACTTCCATTAGATGTCCATGAATTTGCGCCATGTAGTGGTTTTGGTATAACTAGGCCTTTCCCATTAATTATTGAAAATCTATGCTGGTTGTGGCTCTTTAGTTTGCATTAACTAAATGAATACAATCTAATAGCAGAAAAAAATCCGATTGTGTGCAGGTAGAGCTATTTCGAAATGATCAACATCGTTTCAGGATTGTGGTCGACAGTGAAAATGAAGCGGACTTGTTAGTCCAGACACGTCACATGCGTGATATAATTGTACTTGTTATCCGAGGCCTTGCACAGCGCTTTAACAGTACATCCCTCAACTCCCTTCTGAAGATAGAGACATAGAATCATACGCAACATGTTGTACACTAATGTAGCCTGAATGGCATTCTTTGTTTTGATCGGGTCTTTTATTTAATCCTTTTTTTGGTTCCCTATTCTCTTGACCCGTTTTTTTGGTTTAACATTAAACTGCAAATTGCTAAACACCAGAGTAACGTACATCATGGATTGTGTGAGTAAATAGGCTTGGTTGAAAAGGTTTAGTTTCATTTGTTATACATCTAATTTTTCAGGATTGTAATTGCCTGGCGGTTATAACAGTTTTATGATCTTTGTAAATGTTGATTTGAATACTTTGGTTTTAATTTGCAGTTCTTATTTTGTCTTTAATTAGAGTATAATTTTATCTTCATTAAAAATCATATCCCAGCTAGCTGTATTCATCTCAACATTGGTTTCTTGAATGTTTGCACCATTTGCTAATTTCAAGTGGCACTTGGAGATCCAGAACTAGATATTGTAGCTGAAGGTGGTACATCTCCTTCCTCGATCTTCCCAGACTCTTGATTCCTTTCCATCTCCTTTGCATTGTCATAAGATGCATGAAGGCCAAAAAAGGCATAGTAAATCAGAAGAAAAGCAGTCCAAACTGCAAACCTCTGGTACGATTGTCTATCAATTGAGCCGAGGAGGAAGATGTTGATGGCAATGGATGCAGAGGGAAGCCATGGCACCAGAGGAACTCCCCATAACTTTGGTTCACGCGCTTGGGGAACAAAGAAGTAAAGGCCAGCAGTTGCCAAGAACCACACTGGGGTCGTTAAACAATAACCGATCCATCCATCCTTGCTTAAACTCCAATACGCTGATGTACCTACCGAAGATGCAAGGATGAGTGAGACAAGGAAAACAAACCTGTTGCGGTCTCGGGATGCTGTCACCCCGGTGGCATAGTAACGGCGCACAAGAAGAGCAAGGGCCACGAGCATAAAAATGAAGAGGGTTGAAATGGAGAGAAGGTTAGCCAAAATGTCCAATCTTGTGAAGAAGGCTATCATTGCAGTGGCTGTCATCATAGTTATTGTTGCATTTATGGGGGTTCCCGTGTTGGCATCCACTTGCGAAAACCAAGGTGGCATCATGTGAGTTCTTGAAATGTGGGTCAAGTAGCGTGCCTGCCCTACTGCATCGACCAGCAACACAGATGTCATCCCTTTAAGAGCTCCGAAGGCAACAATGTATTGAGCCCATGACCACCCAACACTCTTGAAAGCCATTGAGTATGGGGCATTTATGTCAATTGTGTCATATTTTTGCATCATGCATAGAGTGATTGCCAACAAGCAATAAATAGAGGTTGTGATCACCACTGATCCCACCAACCCAATTGGTACATCTCTTGCAGGGTTTTTTGTTTCCTCAGCCATGGTTGAAACAGCATCAAATCCAACAAAGGCGAAGAACAACACTGCTGCTGCTTTGAAAACCCCCCGTGGACCAAATGGCATAAATGGTGTATAATTCTTGTAATTGGACTTGATTAGTCCACACACTATGATGAATAAAATCACAATTATATGGACCATGGAGGCAATGTAGTTGAGGCGGGAGGAGCCCTTTGTGCTGTGCACTGCAACCATACATATGGCTATGCATATGCCAACTGCAATGGGGTCAAGCTTGTCATAGCCTTCTGCCAAACCATGAGCTTTTATGAGGAAGGAACTAGGCTCCTTATTGCAGAGACTGGCCAAGTAAGATGTCCATGATCTAGCCACCGCTGCTCCCCCAATCACATATTCGAGAAGGATGTTACCGGCAGCGATGAAGGCCACAAAGTCACCAAGTTCTACCCTTAAGTATGCAAATGACCCACCTGATAGAACGGAGTTTGGTTAAAAATAGTCGTTTCAGCTTCAAATAAAAGTAGTCATTTCTCTTTTTTGATATAGCTGTTATTTATCAGTTATCATTTCATTATAGAGACCGGTCTAGTAAAAGTAAAATTTAATTTGAAATGATTAAATATAAAAGCTGTGGATAAAATAAGCCGAATTTGCTTAATGATACGAGTTACCTAATAAGTAATAATATACGAAGTATGTAGTATGAACTATGAAGTACTATTGTTTTTTGCAAATCATAGAAAATATTATTTCAAGGTGAAACTATATACGCTATGACTTTGACCGACAAAATGGATTTGGAGTTTGTAGAAAATATATAGCTGAAGAAACATGAATGTCAAGCTACACATCCGTGCTATCATAATTGTCAACTTTTAGTGTGTGTGTTTTTGGAAGAAATTCCCAACTTTTAGTTGAAAGTTGAAACCCATTCATATCTTATTCTTCAATCTTCACTTTAAAAATCCTCACTTTGAGTTTTCCAGAATAGTACATTAACAATTTCACGGATAACGGAATCCAGCCTAAAAGAGTGAGAGCATCATTAAAACTGTTGCAGAAAAAGTCTTCCAATTTGCTAGTTGTTTAGATGATTAAACATTTAAACTTGCGTAGTCTTTGAATGATTGATCTAAAAATAGTTAAATACAAACCAAGACGGCAACAGCTCTTTGGTTGCCAAATACAGTTATTAGCTGAATAATCAAAATATAAAATATTTTGTGGACTTTCAATATACTCAACCATTTCACCCAGCTACTCCCAAACTGGTTTTGAATGTGATTTTTATACTTAAAAACTAAACGAACTAATTTCAAAGCGTAGTTAAATTATATCATTTCATATTCACTATATTCTTATAATATCATATATGACTCCTCATCTTTAGGATGCTCTTAATTGGACTCTATTGGTTTGATCTAGTAAATGTCTAAAGTATCTCTATTTTAGGAAAATTGTCTTAAATTGGAGTAAACATGTTTTGGAATGAGAAAAATACATATCTATGAGTAAAACTCATCCCAATTCCCAATATATGAGTTGGTTTATTTTTTTACCATCTTATGACTACAAAAGGTTTTTAAAACATGGCATCCGTATGGTGAAGAATATTCAAAGACCAAAATGACCTTAACACAAATACACGTAGAGGGCCTCCAACTTCCCCTAAAGTTGCCGATTCTGGAATGAAAATTAATAATAATAGCGGTTACCATAACTGTAGTATCATCTTAGGAAAAACTCAAAAAAGACTCCTATGTCATATTATGGGAAAAGTTGGAACTTTTACTAACACGTCAAGTAAATTTCTCTTTTGGAATTCCAAATAGAGCTCCTATATTTTTTCCTCAAAATTGGAGTCGTTACTACCATAATTGAAAAATATTGACAGATTAATACTGTCATGTTAATCCCTAGTACTACAACTATTTTGGTAGTAATGACTCAATTTTATTGTCAAAATAAGATCGCCAACTCATTCTGGCCTTGGGAAAGTCAATGGAGTAAAGGCGTCATCATCACCACAAAGGTTAAAGGAAAATTCTCGAAATATGAGTAAGAAAACGTTTGAAAATTTGAAAATAGGACTGTCATGTTTTTATTCCCTAAAATGAGTAATTACTGGCAATCTTAAAAAATACTGCGAAGTTTAAAGTCCGGTACTGCCAAAGTGTGACAGTAATTACTCCTATTTAAGAGATAAAAACATAATAGTTCTATCTTGGTTGAAGGTTAACGCACGAAAAAGTTACCTAGTGTAAGGGTATTCGAAAATTAACTAGATATTACTAGAAGATAACGGTTTTCCCAATATATGACCAAAAAAACTCATGCATGTGCGTTAAATATGCGCAGAGTAAATTTCCTTTAATGCCCTCAAATCCTCAATAGTTAACCGCTAAACAGAAAGTGGGGGTTTACTGAAGACGGAAAGTAGCGTTTTGTAAGGTTTGAATGCATTAACTTCGGCCGGCCAAAACCACTGATCTTCCCAAAAAATGCAAAAGCCACGTACGCCACCGGTGGCGTTCAGATTTCTACTGCAATTTAGTGCAGTAAGTTGCGCTTCACTGCTTCAGTAAGTAATGGGACATTAAAATAGGGCATTAAGTTAAGATATGCATATCTCATAAGGCAGTTAGAATGACAATGAATCTCAAATTCTATGAGTTGGACTGTTGGAGATAGGACATTAAATCGGGTGAATTTGGAAAATGTTTGTTGGGCAATATAATGAAGTTTTTTCCCCGAATGATTGGGCACTGAAATTAAAGAACATGAAAAAGAATGTCATACGAAAATTAGCTAGGACAGTAATATAAAGGGAATTAGAGAAATATAAAATTAGGACATTAAAAAGTCTGCAATAATTTTTGTTTATTTGTACGTCTTTGGTTACGAATACAATTGAAATAAGGGAAAGTAATTATTGAAAATGAGGTTCCAAAAAAATAAAATAAAAATGATGAAAACGGTTATCAAACACTACCATGAGTTAAATCCACATTTTAAGGAAAGTTAATTAATACAGGCGTCATGCTTAGAGCATCTTCAATGATAAAGCGTTAACGGTGCATACGTGCCATGTGAAATAACCAATTAAAAAATAATAAATACAATATCTCTCTCCTTCTTTCCACGGTCTTATGTGTATGGTAAGTTTTTGTCTGCAATGTCAATCACAATGTCTACATCTAGACATTGTATTTGACATTGTGAAGATAAACTTATCAAAATGATGTAAGATCCTTTAAATAAGGAGAGATATATTGTATTTATTATTTTTTAATTGGTTATTTCTCATGCCACGTATGCATCGTTTTAGCATCCAAGAAATCAGGAATAAAACTTGCCATCTTTATTCATTGAGCCATTGAGGCCACCGGCGTAATAAAAACAAGGGAAAAAATTAATAAATGACCATGCATAACATCGATGCATCAAAATAGGAATAAGGACTAAGTCATATACTGGGAAACATATGAAGTTTTAGAGCCCGTTTGGAGAACTCTGTTTTCGGCTTAACAGGCTTATCAGCCAGCTTTTTTACCAAACACGCAACTTTTACTTTCGCGCGCTGAATTGTGTAATAAGCCGAAAAAGTAAGGTTGGAGTTACTTTTCTGGCTGTATTGGCTGAAGTTACTGTAGAGGACCATTTTAGCTATTTTTACATATAATTTTTTCTTTAATTTATTAATAAAATATATTTTTAAAATATTTTTTTCTTAAATCAGCAGAATCAGCCAAAACAGCCACTCCAGCCAGAATATCATAAATTTCAGCAGAATCAGCCAAAACAGCCGATTTTGGTGCTACCAAACAGGCTCTTAGTCTACGGGAGATAATTTTCTCTATTCTTTATTCATAAAAAGATACACTCAGATCTTACTATAGACAAACA